AAAATCGCCAGAAACACTTCATTCACATTGGATAATCTGATTCGAGACGTCTGCCGCAAGGCCGTTGCAAGGTCAGTCATCAGCGATGACTTAGAGGCCTAGAATGGCACAATCTCTGTTGACTTCATTCGAGCTTAACTCTGGGTCCAGCTGAACAGGATTCTTAAGCTTTAACGAGTACCTTAGGCTTGGGAAAACTATTTATGTTGAAAATGAAGTCAGATCAACAAAAATCTAAAAGAAACTTAGCGACAGTTCGGAGAAAAACAGAGGGAATTGGTTATACCACCTGTGGTATTAAAATATTCTGCAGTAAATTTAGTTGATGAAGTCTTTAGATTATAGAGCGAACATGTGATTCAACCGGATTATGTTGCTCGAGCGGTGGGAGATTGAGTGCACGCATACCAAAATCACTGCACAAATGTGTGAGCACAAATCAAGGCGTAGTTGGTGCGGTAGTGGCGCTTACAAGCCAATTAATTTGTCCACAACGTGCAACAAATGGGAAATTTAGCACTGGATGCTTCAATTAATTGTTTAACACCCACCTACAACCAGGAGACAGGTATAAAAATAAATGTCTAGATCCACGTGCAACATGTACGCAAATTAAAGGTTTGACCCGGCGGTTAACAGCCACATTCGGTCCACTACTTTGGCTGATGAGAAAAGCTACACTAATTCAGCACTACGTTCTTGCGATCAAATTCTGCGACTCGACTGGGTATTTTTGTTTTACAGTCACAAGTTCGGGGAGTTTGGAAAAAAAATTTGTGCGATTCTAAAGAATACCACCGTAACAACAAACTATCATCAGGAATACGTGAAGTTAGATAACAGTAATTAGGCTCTAAAGATTAAGGCCAGTGACAATGGGCAAATTCAGAAATTAATGATTACTTAACTACCTTGAATTCACGAAATTTTGCGCAAATACTGCAGACCGCAGTCTCACAATTACTAACAAAACGTTTGAGGTACACAAGCACATCCACGACGTGAAAGTCACAAGCGCGGTGGTGCGCGATGTAAAACACGTTTGCTTAGGAGTCGTATTAGTGGCGATTGCGCAATACATCGATTTTTTTCAATACTATTACTAACGTAACAACATTTACTGAAGAAATTGATGCGTCCCAGTGGCAGAAGATTACTTTTAATGAAGTTAGGCGCCTCAGGGTAGGTGTCTTCTAGCAGGAAGAAGTAGTGGCGCATGAGGGTCACTGGTAGTAGAAATAGACACCAAACAATTTACCGAAGAATTAATGCACATTATCCGAGGCAAGGCACCTGACCCGAACTCAGGGTCAAATTTTCAAATTAAACAAATTTTACTAGGATTTATTTGTGTTAAAGAGTAGACGCAAAATAACTTTCAACACGACCTCATAACAGGAAAGAAAGCTAGGCAATAAAAAAAATATTAACATTTAACACTATTTTGCTATGGCATAAACAATTTTACGAGCGTATGACTAGAGAACAAAATGTATTGATTTCAAAGGAGCCTATGAGCTGCTATGAAGTGTTTCATGGCTTGTGGTTTTCAGTGCATGGAGTCGCTTTAAGAGGTTGACAAAACATTACGGAGGTGTATACTACGAAACTATAACAGAAAGTTCTAGTCTGAGACCTTATTTTGTCAGTTCAGAAGAGACAGACAGAACCAACTTAAATAGGGGGTTGCCTGGTTATAATTCTAATTAAACAGAGTAATTTTAAACCACGGTTAAAATCGATAGTTATTACTGCACAAAAATTAAAATAGATACCAAGCAAAAATGATCTCTTCATGTACCTACAATTAGTAAACAGGGACGACAGGAGAGACGTAAGTAACCAGTTAGTCATTGGTGACAAAATAATATGTCTGTTCTACAAAAACTTGATTCGTTGGGATGAGTCTGTTAATTACAAAAGGCTACCCACCAAAACCTCTAGAACCCGAATCCGGATAAAAATGAGTTTAAAAAATCTGCCCTATTATAAGCGCCGTCCCTTTAAATGTTTCCCACACAATGCTTCTTAGTGAGGCCAGATGTCATCGAGCATTCTCACTGATGGACTATTTACCTCAGTGTTTAAATAAACTTGCGATCTGGACCCGAGGCATAAACGGGGCATTTTGGCAGCATTACAAACTTGGGGTAACGAAATCGATACCTTTGAGAATTACGCATCTTAAGATGATTAATATCATGAGTTCAAATAAGAGGAGAAAAAAGACCCAACTTTGTTTCATTTTGCCCCCAAGTAAAGGCACGGCGGAATTTTATCTATTACGAAATCTCTTAAGAAAACGCCCGCTGTCGAACCTAATGACGTGCTGTTTACAGGGTAAGAACTATTTACACTATTTAGCCCTATCACGATGCAAGAGGACAACCTCAGTCGCAGGTAACAAAACCCGCGTTAAAAATCACCCTTAATATGACTTACCTTCTGACAGGCGCAGGTTTTGCAAGGGAGCTTTTAATGCCAACCTAACAGGTCAAGTCAGTGAAAGTTTAAATGAGTTAAGTCAATCATAGGCACTCTGCTTCGGGAAATTGTGTTACTGATTTTAAAGTTAGAGCTAGAGGACTAAAAGGCGAATTCAAATGTAAGGTAACGAGACGTCACAACGTTACCAGGATAGGACAATTACCGGAAATCTATCTCTAGCGCAATGCAAGTGTTTCTCCGTAAATTATTCGATTCTGCTCTAAAAATTTAAAAAATTCAAACTGATCCCTAATGATAGCCACTTTTAATAACATTACCAAGAACATACTTGCGTAGTCTAAAATGTCACACGGAAACCGCGGGTAGCTCTTTCAAAAGTTTTATTGTACAAAGAATTTATACACCTGAAAGAATTCTTGGATCCTTCGCTTAATATTACCCTACCCACAACTGTCAAAAATTTAAGTCATCACCCAAATAAGAAACGCGAAGCTTGTACTAGTACTAGATGTCCCATCTTCAGGTAGCAGCGGTAAACACCTTAATTAAATAGACAAAACTTTCGACGTGCATTGTACAAAACATAGCTGGTGTGCATAAAAAAACACGCGAATCGGCTCAAAGTTCAGTACTTAAACAACTCACAGTGGTAGATTTTACAAACATTGTATGAAGTGTTTTGATAAAGATGTGAAGTTACATGACTTCCGACCTACCATGCATTGGGTTCAGACCCAAGTTGGATTACGATCATAATAATGAAAAGAGGTGATAATTGTGCTTTTTCATGACAAATTACGTGGAGTCGGCAAGGGCACTAAGTTTTGGCCACATTATATTAGAGGGTAAACAGAAAGTCATCGTCAAGTCCAGCGATACTAATAATCTGAAATGGCAACGATTACCTGACGTTGATAAGCTAACAATGCACCCAAAAACAAGCAATTCTGCTTAAATGATTTAACCACCACACTTCCAAACGCGGAACGCATGTATTCACAATCCGCAGTGCTGTTACGATCACGTGAGAGGCGCGAACTTGCTGACATGCTCTCTTGTATTCCCCCAAGGTCATCTGGATAATGGGTCTATCAGTTTGGACTGTGGTCAAACCACTGCTCCGCTAAACTCTTACAACTGTTCTACCATCACTTTACATTATACCTTTTCAATTTAAATGTGTGATGGGCCTTTGATTTAGCTTTTAGTTACTGCATGGCTGTCGAGTGCTATTAATGCCAAACAAGCCAGAAAATGACGCTTTCAAAATAACTTAGACGTCAAGACTGGGACACGGTGCATGCCTCATAGTCAAGCAAGCGTTTCAATGACGTCAAAGCAAAATTAGTCGGTGAATCCTAACAAAATGCATACATGGCTCAAATACTGTAATATTACTAAAATATCGCGAATTAGCGAGACATGAAGCCGACGTTTCCGAAACATGCATCAGGCTCCAGGCACGAACAGAGCATTTCGTTAAAACAATCAGCCAACAGTACACTGGATGAGCCATTTTAAAACTGTGACGTGTGCGATAGATAAAAATGAACCCCATCGAGCAGCAGTTCTGCTGCGAAAAGCAACCTCCTATTTCGGATATGTGATAACTTACGAGGATTACCCCTGCAACCATAGTGGGTACGGACGTGACACAGAGAATTGGAGCAAAAGCGCATGTGCATTTGGGACGAACATAGACAATGATTTGGAAAAGACACCTCTTACCAAAAGCCACTTAGCTGCCCTGTTAACAGGCCTGTGAAAGTTGAATTTGTTTTACTACATGGGATCTTTTGGGGAAACACTTGATTTAAGATATTAGCCTCTTCTAATAAGAGTGGACAATAGACCGATCAAGTAACCTCTACGGGATGCCTACCAAACAGTACGTGTTGTGTTCGCATCGTAAACAAGACAATAAAAAGAACACTTGAAACATAGACAAATGTTAAATTATGGTGCTAATACGACAAGCGCAGTCTGACTTTTAAGAGGTGTAAAAGCAAGCACCACGCGACCAACGATGACCCCATCAAACCCATGCACGCGTGTGCGGTGAAAGTGAGAGAGGTCAGCCGTTACACTGACCTGTGAGTGAAAGCATTCGCAAAAGGAGTCGTAAAATAACAGATCGCTGCACACGAATCCACATTCACCAAGACTACGAGTATTTCAGGTCGAAGCACTGCGTTTAAATCTGGAGTGACGCAATAGTGCAGAGCATAATTAAGGGCTCTACCAGTAGACAGGCATCTTTAGAACTTTGTTAAAAAATACTCAGAACAAGGCGGCAGATTCTTCTTCACGAATAGGTTGACGATTTTAGTCTGCATGTCAAGGGGCTGGATTTGAAATAGTAACATTAATGGGGCACATCCTCTGATTACATTCGATGCGACTTGACCACCAGTGAGTTTGTTGTGCCTCAACTATGGTGCTAGCAAAATTGGGTCATCAAAATTACAAATATGTGGATATTCAGTAAATTAGCCAAAAAATTTTTTGTGGAATAATTCTTGCCTACACAGACGTGTCTACTCAACAGGAAGTCAAATGGCGCAGCGGTCGAGGAGAATGACTGTTTGACTACGGCCGAGCAAGTTTGGAAAATGCAAAAAAATAATAAGCGGCAATTGAGACACACCTAGTCCAGTGGTCTCAAAGAGAACGGTTTGAGAAATCCCCAAATCGCGACACCATTCGAGAAACGCAGATATATTTCCCCTTGCAGTCCACTGTATGCGGAGCCGCGCCCCTACGTCTACCGTTGAGTACCGATCTGAAATAGTCTGAGAAGGGACCTTGGTGGTCACATCCGAGTTAGAAAGTTGGGCTTCTGCGGCTAACTGGAGAGGTCGAGAAAAAGGTGGCAAATTTTCTGCTGTCAGTTGGCCCAGGGCGTTGCTGGGACCGGTTCCACGAAGACTGGCGTACAGTTTGTGCTCCCTTGAAGTGACTTGAACACCACGCGGGCACCGTGGAAGATTCGCTGCAAGAACCTGTGAAACAATATTAGGTGATTTACTACAAACGGGGAACTAAATGCCTGCATGGTAGGAATAACGTGGTAAATCACACTCTTCAGGATTTATAGTTACGAGTCAATAAATTCGGGACTGTAAATACGTTGTCACAGTGAATGAGGCATACCTTGAAGTGTAGCTTGTAAGCGAGACGAGCTAGCCAGACACCGGATTTCAAGCGCTCCAATAAATCGCAGGCGTCGTCCAGAGGAGGAACGTTGGCTTCACTGAAAAGGTAGCGCTGGAGCCAATCGCAGATGTCTTCACGGATTACACACATCGACTCATCCAGGATCTAAAGTTGGAGGGACACGCCCACTGATTAGCTACTATTATGTGCTGCTTTACAGAATGGCTAAGGTGTTGCTAAGTGCAGAATTTGGACACGGTGGGTGCGGCTACGACTATGAGCTCAAATAAGCGGAGAAAAAAGATCCAACTTTGTTTCATTTAGCCCCTACGTAAAGACACGGCGGGATTTTACCAATTGCGAAATCTCTTAAGAAAACGCCCACCGCCAATCCAAATGACGTGCTGTTCACAGGGTAAGAAATGGACTAGCTGCACCGGCCAATTTATTAAAAAATAAAAATAAATGACGACTAGAGACGGCCTGTCCAACTAACACTAGGTACTTTAAACGAATTTATAAAATGTTGCAATTATTATATTAGATTTTGTTTTGATTGTTCAGCCAATGGATAAAGGTGCGCATTAACACAACGAAACGCTTATGGGAAATAGAAATGCGTGATTTGATGTGAACGACTAACTACGCGCGTACATAACCTTAGCAATCGAAAAGGCACAACGAGGTCAAGCTGAGTTGGCTTAGAACAAACGCTTAACAACACGAAACTCAGGATTCAGAAAGATGTGTCGAACTGATCAAAATCTCCACCAAAAATCACCGATGTACTTTTGCCTTCCGAGCACTAAACTAAGTGATGGATTCGAAGAGCTGGGCTAAACAACTTGCATGACATTCCAATAGTTCCGAGAAATTAGATGTGCCATCAGCCTCATTCATCGGAAACACGAGCACCGTAGCCACTTGTGCATATACTACTTCAGTGAATTAGAAGCCTCCTTTAACATGTGAGTATTACTAAAACTGCAGGTGACTGATTCGAAATCAATGAGCTTTGTGAAATTATTAGAGCGAATTACAAATTTAAAATAAGGTCACGCAACTTTGATAACAAGGAGACAGTTTCTAAAACAGCAATAGAGTTTCAAAGAAATCCTCTAAGCAGGGTGAAAATAGGTATTTGCTAAGCCTATGGAGCAGACGAAGTTGATATTACCTAGGGACATGAAGAAAATGTACTTTTTCGAATGACTATTCGAGGAATCAGACAGGATGATTTTTTGAACAAAAACCACGTAGGCTTGCTTACATTCCATGACGTCCCACAACTCATGACTTCCATGGGATGTTTAGGCGTTCTAACGGTAACAAATCTAGGTGCAGGCTTGGTAATGAAAATTTAGACGTTAGTGGCATTCCTGCATTGCTGGTGATGATCGTCCACAGGTTTGGGATTGCTGTCGAGCCCCAAAAGAAGTAGACTTATCTGTTTGCACAAGCATATCTGATCCACATTTACAAACTAAGTGCAAGGGGGACAATAAAACACGCGCCTCACAGTAGAAATTTTAACTAGTGCAAATAGAAAACCTGCTGGCAATCAAACAGAACTGAGATAGCAAATGTTGTAGACAATCACACTAGCAGGAGAACCTTGACCAAGAAAGTTTTTTCTCCACAATGTGTCAGTATCGCTATGTAAATACCGTGAATTCTGGACGGGTTTCAACAAAATACTTTAAGTCGTTACACCTTCAATTTTTTGCACTATTAGGTGTACTTTCTCAAAAAGCACCTACCAGTTATAGGCACACCAAGTAACTAACAAGAATCACAATTACAAGCGAAAACGCTGAGTACCTGTGAGATCATTTTAAAACGAAAGTCAACAATACAGGAAGTCAGTATGAGCGCACCGTTTGAGTGGGCAGGATTAGCATAAACGCACGCTCTGTTGTACAAAGTGATCCGATTGAATATTCGCCTGTTCCGTTTCCAGAACTATCAGCCTTCAGTGTCTGATATGTACATCGAAATAAAGCCATGACGTAAAACAATAATCGCATTATAAAGTACTAAACTACGTAAGATAATCGTGGCAGCCATGCTAGTCAGCTAAAGTCTCATCGCCAGAGTTCCGAGCTTTCAAAAATCAAAATAAACAGTGGACTCCGAGATGAATGTAGGTGGATGTGAATGTGGTCCATTTAAGACTAAGGAGTGACAACTGTGGTGGCCCGGAGTGGTAAAATTAATTTCCACATTCGAACGGAAACCAAGACACCATTCATCCTAACTCTGCTAAGGCCTCCCTGGGCAAGGGTTAACCACAGTACAACAAACTAACGGTATACCAATTTCGGCATCAAAACTCACTTAAATCGGCCAACACAAAACACGATCAACAAACTACGGTGGCGAAAATTAAGGTTTTATTTAAGCTTACGTTAAGCTAATAATGTTCCTAGTAATTTGCATCACCGAGGTGGAAAGTGGAGGATAAAGTTGGCCCTCGCATGTTCAAATATCCATATAGCAGCAAAAACAGAGCACTCGACTTCCTGAATCACCTATTAATGTGCGTGGCGTGGTTGAGATCGGGAGATAAGTGACCGCATACACTACGAACGATCAGCGCAAAGATACTACTGATCGTGAAGAAATATCTACAAAGAAACCAAGTTGTCGATGATTAAGTGCAGCCAATCACATGATGCAAGTATTCAGCGTCATTAATTTGGCGCACTTATCGTGAGTAATTCACGATAAACCCACAACGTTCTATTGCCTACAAGTCATCCTGTGTTTTTAAAAAAATTACCCGAATATTATTCACAGTGCAAACTAATTGTACTTAAAGTACTCAAAAACACAAAAACCGCCAAAAATAGGCGTTTAAAAGGGCAGAGTAGACATTAATATAGGACGACCGATCGTCAAACAATTAAATTCCCGAAAACTGACGCAATAGCTTTGAAATTTTTTGAAATATGGTACTTGTCTTAAAAAAATATTCGAAAAGGTGAGATTCCAGTTAGTCTTTCTACAAATCAATAAATATTCAGATTAATCACACGTTAGTTCTCCAAATAGCAGTGCTGTCTCCGAGAAGTGATACGAAGAATCAAAAATTCCCAAAAAAGATCAGGAACATGGGATGTCACCCATTAAATCTTTTTCCTGAAAACCGCGGATAATGTCCCACTAATGCACACAACTAAAATTATAATTTGTGCCACTGTGTGGGTTCTTTTGCATTGAATTACTTAATTCACTTAAAACAAATGCATAAGATCTTTCAAAGACCACAAACAAAGTGGGATTGTTTAAATAAACCTTAACGACGCCAACATTTCCTTCAATATCTACAGGAAAATCTTGGCAGATTTCAAATCAAGGTACTATTATAACAGCAAACCCACTTTAAGTGTTGCTGCGTAATTCACTAGGGTTATTTTGCCGCAAGCAATTACAGTGACACAAAAAATGAACTTAATCCCTGCCCAAATGACGGCTGGAATTCTGATAAGAACTTGTGATGGTCGTGTGACTTTCACGAAAGCGAAACCTGCTCGAAACTGCGAAAAATATTAGTTGAATGTTCAGATCAGGCAACGATCCAAGGCCCGCATCTTTGAGGATCATTTTCAAAATGCTAAAAAGCCGAAAAGGCGACTTACGAAACAAACATGCTAGTTTAACCAAGGACTCACTTGAACAAAGGGAGCCACGACACCACCAAAGTCCCCTGTCGCAACTGGGTGATAACTGTTTACAACCGAATTTAAGGCACGATGATGTGCCGTCGACATTCCGATGAATGAAAGACCAAGGCTGCTATATTGTAACAAAAAAATCGTTACTGCAATTCTGCAGAAAAACACAATGCTGGAAAGAAAAAAATAATCCACAGCTCCTAAATATTTATCAACTGATGTCAAGGGTCGCGAAGTCGTTGGGACATAATAATTAACACATTAGCGTAATGATACAACAATTAGGAGAAAAGAGTTCTTTACATCAACCCGTTACCGCAAGCAAAGCTGAAAAAGTTATCAGCCTCCCAGCAAAAACCAAATATCGAATCAAGTCTAACATAAGCAGGTCAGTCGCACTACAACAGTTTCAGTCAAAAAAGAACGACCCCCCAAGGTAACACAATTTGTTCTCAAACTAATGTACAGCGTTGCTTATTCCTACTAGGGTTCCTAACTTCCCATTTCGATTAAATTTTTGTTTTAGTTGTAACTGAAGACCAACTTGCGACAAGCCGAACATTTCATTTCTATACCACTCGTTTAAACTCAACATTCACTCCAGAAAAGTTGCATTTACAACAATTGATATTTCTGCACCATAAATTCTGAGACCCCAAGGCAAAAGTTTAAGAATGCATTGTTCACCTATACGTCCAAAAGGCAAAATTAGAAAACGAGAGATAAGGCCTAAAACTAAACAAGTCTGGAAGTGCAACTACAAGCACAATTAGCTAAATATTTGAACAAGAAGGCAAATGCACTAAATTGCATTAAAATGACTGCAGTCCAAACTTGTTTTATTTTATTTTTTGATAAAACTAAAGATGCCAACATCTACACTTTAGTTACATTCAAAAAAACAAGGCACGACTAAACTAACAAGTGGATCGGAAAAGAGGACATGGGTAAGATGAATACAATGCATCAAAAAAACAAGAAGTAAACCCTATAAAGGTAGCATTATACATTAGTCGCGCAAAAACTTGTAAAATGCTATAAAAACACACTGGTAGCGAGACACAAACTAGACACAAAGCGGAAATAGGGAGAATTACGGCAAAGATATAACACTAAGATAACTAATAAGAAAATGTCATTTTATCTATTGCTGCGACACATAAAAAAATTACGAAAGGTACAAAAGGAATTGCACAAAAGCCACAACACGAAAGTGATCAGCGAAAAACTAACTACAAAAGGTGCGGGTTCACCAACAATATCAGTATGTGCTAATGAAAAACAAATTAGAATAGGCATAAATTTTAACTTTCCTGAAAATTTCATTGCTGCATAAATAAAGCTAAAATTTATCCAACATGATTCTTAGACAACTTCAAATCATTCCTAAATTACTTTATATCAACAAGGAAAAGGCGTTTGCACCATTAAAATTGAACGACATTGTCCAAATTAAATAAAATGGACCCCATAAGAAATAGCTGCAATTGTTAGGTTGACCACTATTGGCAGGCGAAATCCAAAAGGAGTACAATATATTAAGGTAATCCTCAATTTAAAACATAATTATTAATTGAAAATGGTTTGTTTTCAAACAGTTGCTCTAACCTCAAAATAATTTTAGTTAATCATTAACAACGGAATGAACAAATCAAATAGCGGCGCTTAAAAAGCAATGAATGCTTCTACACGATTTTATCACTGACTTCAGATGTTAAGTTTACGGATTTTGACCATTGTACGCGTGAGAGGTTTTGCTTCGGCATTTCGAGAAAGAACACTTGCAACTCTAACATTATCAGCTTTCCTTTTTCAGTATTACTTCTCCGTCCACACAATATTCTGTGGCTGAACACTCCCCAACAAAATTATAATTATCGAATTGCCACCTGGACTCACAACAGACATACGCGGCTTTGGTGACACCCTCCGCGAACAATACGGGGTTGTCACTAGCAACAAGGCTAATATATCTGTCGTGTGACAATGGCGGTTATACTTCTTCAAGAAAGCATTACTGACATGCCCATAGCTACAAACACTTTTGTACTCTCCTCTACGTCTCCCGACCCGAATCGACGTGTCACAGTTAAGAAACAGATGAAATGTATTTTTCTGCTACGGTTTAGCAGTTTCACTGTGTGTTCTCACTCCGCCCACCCCTCGATTTCCGATTTATAAAATTCGCAACCTAACTCGTCGACAAAGTACTATCGTAAAATAATAATTACCGTTGAAAATCACTCTCTGACACATATGAGAAAAGCAACCATGCTTATTAGTGTTATATTCTCTACATCTCTACACCTCGTGAAAATTTGATTTTTGAATTTTGTTTGAAAATTGCACTTATTTGAGGTTCTTTACGTATTTTTTGTCTTTGTGCGGCAACGAATCTCTTGCTAATGCCAAGTATCAAAATTCCGCCCACCATTTGGCAATAGTATATTCATTGTTTTGCATATACTCATCAAGAATATAATATAATAACATAAGGTTGACTTTCTTGTATTGTCTTTCCGAAATTTTTTTCAAGAAATGTATTTAAAGATAACATTTTATCTTTACTTAACCCGAATTATCCTTCATTACCAAGTAATTCAATGTCATGATGGCATACTCGTGAATTTGTATTAAGATAACTATTATAACCGATCATGATAGACCAGATTCGTCACACACATATTCGTAATATGCGTTCTTTGTTCCTGCCGCACCCCTCCATCCACCGTACATCTCATTCGTTCTCTGGTTAGCATCTATCGTCGATGTAAACCGCACAAACGTAAAAGGACAAAAGATTTGCTGAGGTTAGCTAAATCTAATAAGTCAGTGCCCTAGTCTGGAATTTCCATGGAATACCCTTGTAGAATACCCGAGCCCAAGTATGAATAAGACTGGTAAAACAGAACAGGCTTTATTGACCAATCACGAGCCAGAGCCACAAGTCAGACGCCTTCCATCCGAGTCCACCACGCTGGCTTCGTCGCTCATTACGTGCTGCACCTCAGTCGTGTTTAACTCTGGTTAGCTCCTCATCATCTCCGCATGCCACTGGAACACAGAGAGATACAGGATTGGCTGACGCCAGGTGGTCCAACATGTCTGCGCCCTCAGACGTCGCCACACTGCCGCCCCCTCAGCAGCGAAGCTGTCCTCAGATTCTGGTTTGGTTCACCGCACCGTTGTTGATATCCATTGTTAGCAAAATATCCACTTCGACACTTCCCGCACCCCACATCTGGCAGGATAGTGGCCCATGCGAATAGTTGACGAGGGACTTTGCACTTGTAGACTTGCAGGAAGGACTCTTCATCCATCGAAGGTCCATTCGCAGTTGCAGTCCAGCTGGCTTTCACTGTCCAAGTCGTCGTCGCTGAGTTGCCAACGCCTCTTCAGATGCAGCAGTCCTAATCCCGGGCAATGTCTATGGATCCACTTTGTTGGACATCGGATGAACGCCATGACAATTTTAGCTGGCATTCAAGGGTCTCTGCCTCTGTCGACCATAGAAGATAAAGGGCTGGTTTTCGATTCGCGTTATTCGATCGCATCCCACCGCTGCCACCAATGTAGAATACCCGAGCCCTAATAGGAAAAAGACCGATGCAACAGGGCAGGCTTTATTGACCAATCACGAGCCAGAGCCACACGTCAGGCGCCTTCCATCCGAGTCCACGATGCTGGCCACTGCACCTCAGTCGTGTCCACCTCTGGTTGGATGCTTACCTACCTCGCATGCCATTGGAACACAGAGAGACACGGGATTGGCTGCGGCCAGGTGGTCCAGCATGTCTGCGCCCTAATCCGACGCCACTGTAGAATACCCGAGCCCTAACAGAAAGAAGACTGGTACAACAGAACAGGCTTTATTGACCAATCACAAGCCAGAGCCACGCGTCAGGCGCCTTCCATCCGAGTCCACCACGCTGGCCACGCCACCCATTATATACTGCATCTCATCCATGCCCCTCTCTGGTTGGCTGCCTTCCTTTCCCGCATGCCATTGGATCGGAGAGAGACACGGGATTGGCTGAGGCCAGGTGGTCCAACATGTCTGCGCCCTAGTCCGACGCCACAACACACCAAAATTCGCCTCGTTAGATTTCCAACACGGCTTTTTTAATAGCGAGTGTCATAATTGTGAAGGTTATATTAAGTTTTGAATGTCAGGTTCTAAATCATTTTTTTAAAAAATACATATAATTTTGACCAAGCAGTCTGATATTTTTTAATTTTGCCCATATTTTCATGTCCTTGGTCGTGTGTGCCTACATTTCGGGTTGCTATCCTAGTGTTTAGCCACACTTTTTTAGTATTGTACCACTCATTTGAAGTGTCGCTTCTGAGGTTGGTTTTCTTCCTTTTTTTAGATGACGGTTTTCCTACCTTTGGTCCTTCTATCTGCAAATATACTTCTGGCCCGTGGAACCGACATTGAAGGACTAATTGTTCCACCTCTAGGTGCTCATTCTAACTGGGCCGTTGATACGAAGATCCGTGTTGATGGCAGTAAATACTTAGGCTTTGTTAAGCCCGATGGGAATTTTGTGGTTTCGGATGTACCTCCGGGCTCCTATCTTGTTGAATTCACTAATCCCGCCTATCTAATCCAGGTAATTACACGTTGACATGCTGGATAAAATGCATATATATATATATATATATATCACGAACATCCTTTCTTCGCGCAGCCTGTCCGGGTCGACATCAACTCAAAAGGCAAAATTCGTGCAAGAAGTGTCAATGTTTTGCAAACAAATGCTGTTAAGGCCGTCGCTTATCCCCTTCGTATTACAACAGTTGGTAAAGCACTTTTTTTCCAGGTAAGAATATATTATCTTAAAAATTCGCGTTCAGTTGCCTAATTTGTCCCCATTAGTTTGCTACTGTTTTTATTATGACAACTCCGGGACTTAATTAGATCAAGTGTTCAAATTTATCTAAAGTTATTCCCCGTCACTTTGTATTTATTATATTCCGTCTGGATTCCCGTTACCATAAAAAGGGAACCACAAATTGCTCCTTGCTTCCCCTTTTCCCAATTTCTCCTATATATTCTGTTTTTTTGACACCAGCACGTCACTTTCTCACCTTTGAAAGTGAGGTGTTACGACTATTTGAGTGCCACAATCCTCATCAGCTGCTTTGCGCTTATTGGATTTAGTTTTTATGGATGCTCGATATTAAACCCATCAATTGGACTATTTACAGCCCCGTGAGCAGTTGCGCACCTTAGACCTGCTCTTGAATCCTACCGTCTTGTTAATGGTTGTACCATTACTCCTGGTGATGGTTCTTCCAAAGCTAATGGACACCAACGACCCAGAATTCAAAGAAATGCAAAAGACGAGTCTTTTCGGTGGACGAAACAAAGAGGCAACAGAAATAAGCGATGCAAGTTTCTTTTTGCACAGAAATTTCACACCTTTATGGTAGTAGGGTATCACAATCATATAACCCGTTCCCAGTGTTAATTTGCAACTACCTACCTGACGTTATCTCACCATTCAAAACTTGGGTGTAACTCTCCGACCACTCTTGTGCTAGTAAACTTATGAGATCAGCACTCGCACGACCAATTTAACTTTCTTCTCATGTAAATTGCTTATCAACAGTCGCCTTACATCCCAGCTTTGTCTAGACTGGTTAATATTTATAATTTAAGAATCAGACCATTGTCAACCACTGCCCTTTTTTGCTCTTACAGTACATTTCCTCGATGCCCCTGCTTGGTAGCAACAGTGGCGGCAAAAAGTCAGGTCCTCGAAAACTCACCACGACTAGCCCCACTGCAGCTTCAAGTCCTCCAGGCCAGTCAACACTACAGGAGGCACGCAAGAGTGGGAATGTTCGCAAACGAAACTAACGATTCACTTTCTGATGTGTTAACAAAGACGCACCCTACCCCAGTCTAGTTTTACCGGCTTCTTGGTGCCGTTAACTAAGAGCAAATTTACGTCGTCCACTGTGTATTTAAGCATCGTATGGAATTGATAAACACGTTCTTTTAATGTGGGAGGTGGGGACTGAAAGCCCTGTGACCTCGCAAAAACAGGGGGGTGGATATTTTCCAATCAACAACCCTGTATTTAATGAATTACACTGTGTTCAGCATTGCCGTGTTGTGTACCAAAACCATCATTCTACACCGTTTTAGTTACAAAATGAGAGAAAAGCGCTGGATTTTTCTCTATGTTAAAAGGCTTTTTTCAGTCGTTCGGCCAATTTTGAGTTGAGAGCACTGACGCGTGACTTCAGGTCTGCATAGAGTCTACACGCGGCCTGATTTGCCGGGTTTAGTCGAAGGACGCGCTGTGTGTCGGCGATTCCTTCGTCTAACAAATCCAACATCGAATAGGCCAGTGCACGCCGGTATAAGACTTTCTCGACTTCTTTCAGACTTATTCTATGTTCAACATGCTCTTCGGCCAATAGGGTGTCATCATCGGGAGCCATATCTAACGCCGTTGTGCACTGTTTAACCGCGAATCCCAGGGAGCCAGCTTTCAGTTGACAAAGTGCCATATTTGACAGTAGGCTAAAAGGAAAAAAAAGAATAGTCGTCAGAAGTAATAAATTCTTCACGGGACCACATCGACCCAGAGTAGTTTGTGGGACCGCTAGATCAGTGCGATTCATGGACAACACTTGCTTACCTTAGTCCAGCACCACATGTATTTCATCACACAGCTGATTTTAACATAAACCGCCAGCTGAAATACGGCAAGTCTGTTACACATTTACGAGTTCTGATGGTTTCATTGGATTCGGTTTAGGTGGACGAACTCACCGCCGAGCGAGTATTCTACTTAGAAGTTTGTTTTGACAAAGGGCGGTTAGTAAATCTAAGTTGTCAAGTCTCGATGTTTTGTATAAGCACCCAGGCACGAATTGCCTATAGTCACAATCGTGGGGACTTTTTATAGCACATTAATCATCAGCGACATAACATATTATTTTAAGGGATGCCGCGTTCAACGGGGCCGAGTTCCTACGATCCCAAACCGAACGCCCGCGGTTCGGGACCTCGAACCACACTGACATCAAACAGAAATTCGTGCCACCAACCAGTAGTGAAAAAATTTAATTGAGACGACAAATAGGAGATAAGCAAAATAAAAAAATTCTCGGGAAAAAATCACTAAAGCGACTCCATAGCCATTCAAAAGTACACTGCGAGCCACTGTCTCACACGCTACCAGCAGTGCTGTACCCAACCAAAGACGGTAATTTCTAGACAAATTACATCAGTTCGTGCAACGTGGACGTATTTGCACAACTGCCAGCCGTCAAGGCGACAAGTTTAGTACAATTCGCCACCCCTGAGCTGTTAGATTAATAGTACTGAAAATCGACCATTGACCCCCTAAGTGACCTCCTAAACGATACATCAATTTGACGGTTTATTAAGCCATTGGATTCAGATATCCTATTCTCTATTTGCAATGCTGATTATGTCCGGGAGCGGTTGAGTATACTAATCAACAATTGTTATGTGTAGGTGGTGCTACAGGTTTCAATCAGCCGTCATAAACAAGTGTTCTCATTATTTTCGACGTTGCATTATGGGAGCCTTCAAAAGAGAACCAGTTCATTTTACCTATAGCAGCTGCAAAACGATCCCATTAGGCTTTTGTATGTTAGGAACAAGATTGGCCAACCTTAATTAACTACCAGTAAACACTAAAACCATCGACAACTAAATGCCCTCCATAATGAGCTCCACCTCCATCGAAGGCAGTATTAAGGGTCAAAAAAGTCTCGGTGCTGGTACTAGCTCACAGAAAAGAATGTTGCAAAGTACGAATGTGAAGTAACGTAAACGCTTAGAAATCAAAATTTATCTTCTGCAGTCTTTTGGAGAGATGGAAGCCAACAACTTCAGTTGATTTTCCTCGACCCGTTCCTTGTCTATTAGAACAGCAATCTGCATCGTCCACGTCAATAGTGACACCTCTCCCACACGATTCGATTTAAGGGAGGTGGCGTGTACTAAACATGAAACGGAGTATACCTGTGTAAACAAAGACAGGCACGCGAGGTTGCGTAATTTCTTACCTGAAATGCAACTTCGCCAATGCATCCAATTCAAATTTATCTTGAAGAGGATCAAAGTCAATGGGAGAACAACTGTCCATATCTATATATTCCCCGTCTTCGAAACCGACAAACATCTCACATGATTTTTCTTCTTCTTCTTCCTCTTCTTCATTTGCCGGTAATCGGGCTACAACACTGAGCAAGGTGACAAGTTGCAGAGCTCGGGAATAACAACGAAAGGCCGCTTCGAGACGAGACGGGGCAAATGGTTCCAAGCTGCCATGAGTTTCGGTAAGGAGGTGAGTACCACGTGCCTTGAGGGCAATCGCACGGGCAAGCCAAAGTCGCGATGTGAGAACCCGCCAGGCACAATTGTTCGTGGTGATAGTGTGCTCAGCGTGACCACCGGCTTGTGGGTTGTCATGCAGTTTTGGTTGGTTTTTCTCTTCCTCATCGGCCACAGGCGTTGGAAGAAAGTTTTGAGGAACGGAAAGGCGATCTAGGTGGACCGATATCTGAAAATTTTAAATTGTTTGTCTGAAACAGTTGAACATGGACCAGGAACTATAGGCTAAGTCATCTTGACGCATTTAATAATTAATATATAATTCTTAAGTGCGTTTTCTACCTTGACAAATTTATGACACAATTCACGAAATACACCTGTTTAACGCAGCTTACATTATCATAAAGCCACACATTTCCAGCAAAATCGACTTTTCTTAATAATCAATTTTAAACATGGGACGATCTCAGAAACAGTACTAAGAAACTCCTATGAGACATTTCTAAAAAACAAAGTCAGATGATTTCTAGGTTAAATAAATTATTTACAAGGTATTACATACGCCGCCAAATTATACCACTCGATCATAAATGAAGGCTCAGTGGGAATGTATTACACAAAATGAAAAGTAAAGGCTTACACATGAGGCAAAAAGGAATGCGTGGAAACTGAAAAGTGCACCTACAGAGCAAGGCATAACCAATTCTGAACTAACCTTCGACTTCGTAGAAACGGCATCATAACACGTATTTTCGACCTCAATTTCCACGGTCGAACCTACTGTAAGGGCTCTGAGCTCCTTTTCAATAACACCACGAAAACCGTCAGAGAGATCAGGAGCTTGACCAAGACGAAGGCACAGTTTAGTGGACTTATTCGGGGATATTGCGAGGATTTGGGGACATGCCTCGTTCGATGAACAGAGAGAGCACCCCAAAAAAGTTATAGGTTCTGTAGAATCGACAGTGATCCAGCATTTGCTTCCATCTAGTGCACCACAAAACGTCGACTGGTGGTTGCTTGAACTTGTTTGACCTAAGACTTCGTACGAGGTCAAGTTCCCCTTCTACAACCAAATATATAGAGTAGGGATGCAGCAGGTAGGGATGGACATAGAATTTTAGGAGAAAATAACTGATACATTTAATGCATGCGGACCTGGACATACAAAATCGATAAATTCGATAAGCGAAAATCAAGCACTTGAAATTTAAAGAGACAACCATTTATTGTAGCAGCACAGGAAGTCAGGACCATCCTGACTATGTGCAACAAAAAGATGGAAAAATAGAACGATAGAAATTCCACATTTTTTAAGGAACTTTAATGTAAGTAGGACAAGTATACAAAGAATGGGGGTAAAGACAAGCACTCTAACACAGGGGAGGGGCGCATGACATAGAAAACCACCACAAGAAGTTGCCAAAAGTGTTACATGTTTAGAATACTGGGCCGTAAAATCTGTCAAAGAAAACTATCCAAACTATCATGAAAGTAGCAAACGTTGTCATAAGACCTTCTTTTAATATTTCGCCATATCCGCCGTGTTCTTCTTCATCTATGCGTTGAAACACGGACGAGTAGAGATAGACTGCACTGCAATTGACAATAAAGAACAAAGATATAGCCGTAGCACCTCTCAGAGGTAAGAGGCCCCAGAAAATGCCTGTTATTAATCCAACAATTTGTCGCATCCAATAAATAACGTCGAGGAACTCGTCCTTATCAGTCCAACTTGATTGTGGAGTTATAGATTTTCGCAATGTATTCAGCACAGTTAGCTGTGCTGCATGCTTCGACTAAAAACTTGAGGAATGTGATGAACAACTAACACACCTTAGGAGATTCCCGCATTTTCGGTTAAGCAGATGATCGCGATGTCGTTTGTTATAGAGCAGTGCGGTAGTGTAGTGTGTTTGGTGTGGCTGTGGTGTGGTCTGGCGTCGGATCAGGGCGCAGACATGTTGGACCACCTGGCCTCAGCCAATCCCGTCTCTCTCTCCGATCCAATGGCATGCGGGAAAGGAAGGCAGCCAACCAGAGAGGGGCATGGATGAGATGCAGTATATAATGGGTGGCGTGGCCAGCGTGGTGGACTCGGATGGAAGGCGCCTGACGCGTGGCTCTGGCTTGTGATTGGTCAATAAAGCCTGTTCAGTTGTACCAGTCTTTTTCCTATTAGGGCTCGGGTATTCTACATTGGTGGCAGCGGATGCGTTCGAATAACGCAAATCGAACCCCAGCCCTTTCTCTTCTACGGTCAACACAGGCAAAGACCCTTAAATGCCAGCTGAATTTGTCATATCGTTCATCCGATGTCCAAAAAAAATGGATCCATTGACATTGCCCGGGATTAGGACTACTGCATCTGAAGAGGCGTTGGCAACTCAGCGACGACGACTTGGACAGTGAAAGTCAGCTGGACTGCAACTGCGAATGGACCTCTAATGGATGAAGAGTCCTTCCTGCAAGTCTACAAGTGCAAAGTCCCTCGTCAACTTTTCGCATGGGCCACTATCCTGCCAGATGTAGGGTGCGGGGAGTGTCGAACTGGATATTTTTCAACAAAGGATATCAACAACAGTGCAAGGAACCAAGCCAGAATCTGAGGACAGCTTCACTGCTGAGGGGGAGGCAGTGTGGCGTCGGATCAGGGCGCCGCCAATCCTGTGTCTCTGAGTTTAAATGGCATGCGAGGAAGATAAGCAACCAATCAGAGAAGGACACGACTGAGGAGCAGTATATAATGAGCGGCGTGGCCAGCGTGGTGGACTTGGATGGAAGGCGCCTGATTTGTGTCTCTGGCTCGTGATCGGTCAATAAAGCCTGTTCTGTTGTACCAGTATTCTTCCTATTAGGGCTCGTGTGTTCTGCACTGGGACGCATTAGGACGCAGACGTTTAAGGTCACGGTGGCCTCAGCTAGTGCTCTGCCTATCTGCGATCTAATGGCATGCGAGGAGGATAGGCAGCCAACTAGAGAATGACACATTATGATCGTATTTGGGGGGCCGAATACTTCTCAGCCATCAGAATTTATCATTCATTACTGAAAAGCACAAACCACGAAATACATATAAAACAATAAATAGTTAGGAATTGACAGGCAGGGACTGCGGCAATCACAACAATTCACGTGAACATAAACATAAGAGGGCTAAAACCAATCATTTCCGATAAAAATTAGGATAGGAAATGCGTCATGTTTGAAATAAACGAAGACATTAACATGATAGACTTATCATAGATTAGAATACGCGTTAAAGCTCGGCAGCCGACAGGAGACAAAAAGGATGCATAGTGCTGTGCAATAGTGTTTACAGACAACACGGAAACTCAAATAGGCTTTTTATAATTCACGGTTCTGGCAGGTGGTCGGTCAATGAAGCATCAACAGTTGAACCGATCTTCTTCAACCTAGGGCCTAGGTATTCAACTTTAGAGCTAGTAGATGGCACAGCTACATGAGATGGCACAATGTGCGATGCAATTTATGTATCCAAGGATAACAAAAACTGAGGAAGAGGTTAACAGCAGAGACTTAACTAGTCAAGAGTCACGCATTTAATGGAGGACTGATGGCAATACACGATTATGGCTATTAATCTGCTGAAATATGTTGTCTAACCATAACTATCTTATAAATGTTGGGCCTAGATATTATAAACTCGTATAAATGTGGTGTCGCAATTCTTTAATAAAATACTGGATTTTGCGTATACTCAGCCACAACCCTATTCATCTCATAGAGAGAGCAGCTGATGTGTGCACGGCCATTACCATAAATTTTTGTAGGTAAAAAACGGAATTTCGACACTTAACAGAAAAATTAGAACTAATAAAGTAACTGCAAACTCCATTGGATTCTGTCCACGAAAGCATCAATCATGTTTTTTGGTATTTTAATGCGCTACTGTCCTTGTGCAGCCCTCAAATGGAAGATGGCTAGGTCGCGAAGTAGGTCTTCGTCGGGTGCTATTCGTTCTAGGCGCCGACGGTACCGTTCCCCGTCAAGAGACAAAGGCAAACCTAGAAAGCGTGAGCGAGACCGGGATCGTATACATAAAACTAGTGATCGGCCATACAGAAATAGCAATCGGTCAGAACATCGTCGCAAGTACGGCCTAGATTTTTCTGTTAGTGTTTTAGACGCGGAAGCTCCTCCTCTTCATCAAACGACGAAAAAAGGCTTAAAAAATCGCACCTTAGGGATATTGATAAGAAAATACGAGAGGCCAGGAAAAAGGAAGAATATGAGAAACGAATGTCTGAACAGCGAGAGAGGTGAGCAAACCACATATATTATCCGCCATAGTGCTTTTTTTCTTGTTAAAATTTTCTCTGTAAATGGGTAATAGCGATTTTTTGCCCAAGACTCCATAAATTTGTTGCGCTTTTGGTATCTCTGACCATTTGGGCTTTACCACTAGACCCAGAAATACGCGGTTTTGCTTCTTACGTGGATGTTATTTGTTTTGTTATATTTTTAGTAGACATTGCTTTGCATTTTCTACATTTTTAAGAGTATATTACGTTAGAAGATGTGACTTTGTACCTAGTATCTGCATTTGCATCTAGGCCTTACTGATGCGCAGTTTCCAAATACTTAAAATGGCCTGAAATGCCTTTCAATCCAAATTCTTTTGAACCTTCTGCACACCTTTGTACTTTGCCTTTAGAACCCAGTCGACTGGAATCCATTTTGTTAGTTCAAAAATTATAACAGTGTCACCGTGATGGCACACTTCTTTGAGGATCATTTTTTGCTTGTGTAGTTGATTTTAATATTATGTAATAAATGAAGATACAATAAAATCACAGGAAGCTACATATGGCTTAAGATTTGCTTTTCAGTCGTCTCTTTTCTGCGTTGTCTTCTTATAGCCTGATGTGATTGTTGTCTAGGGACTTAATATCTGTATTCAGATTTTATGCATTGTTTTAGTTAACCCCAACATATCTTTACATCTGTAAACGTCATTAATTTTCGAATGAGCACTTTGTGCATTCTGTAGAGAACGTCGAGAACAGGAAGATAGAGAACGTGAGCAAGAGGCCGCGCGTCAGTTGGAAGCGCGAGTTACGGAAGCCTTCGAGTCAGCTTTAGTGGATCGGGCCGCAGACCTAAGGGCAGAACTGGAGCGTCTTTATCAGGCAGAAATTGACAAACGTGTCCAACAAAAGATGGAAGAAATCGAACGTGAAATCCTACGGGCTCATGAAGAAAAAAGACGCGTTGAAGTAATTTTACGTTTATCACTGCGTCCTTAGAATCGTGGCTTCATAGAACCTTTATCTGTTTGATTATCGTCTAGAATATGCGATGAAACCACTTATTTGAGTTTTTCTGCTAATACCAAGAATGCATAACTTGGTGGTGTGAAAATAATCACTCAAATGTACCAGAAGGGTTTACTATTACTATTTCTCTTAGCTACTATTTTTAACTAAGCTACATATTCGATTTTTTGATTCCTTACTGCATTCCTTGTCCTAGATTTAGTTTTTTGTCATTTCGTTCTAACACTTAGGCTACTTTTATTCAAATAATGGGACAAATGAAAGACTGGGTGTTTGTCTCTGTACATTTGAAAAAATCATAACATTATAGAAGTCGCCAATTTTAACGTGTATTTAAGGAACCTGCTTTAACTTTTTGTAGATAGTAACTTGAAAAAACTCCCCAGCTTAAGGTTAAGGCGTGGTTCTTAAAAATCCGAGTTATTTACAACGAATGACACAAAAACGTTTTAATAGGAGGAGGAAAAACGGAAGCAAGAAGAGCTGGAACGAATTTTGGAGGAAAACAATCGAAAACTAATGGAAGCCAGAAAACGTGAAGTAAGTTCAGCACACTACCGTGATGCACTAGTTCCAGGTAATATTATCACCAGGCTATTTCTTCTATATCTAATAATGTGACTTGTGTTCTTGCCTATTAGTTAAGAATAGTGTAGATGTAGGTTTGATAATTTTTGTTTCTCCCACTACCATGCGGCTGTCTCTTAATTCAGAATGAAAACCTTGTTACGCCATTAATTTTATTGCCGTTATTAACCAATTAAATCTTTTTGAAATAGGATACATTCCATGGCCCGAATTCATTCGACTAACTGCATCAATACTGCTTCCTTTGTACATACGTGTGTATTTTTTAAAACACCTTTTACAAAATACAGTTCTTGCTTATTTGTCTCAATTCTCATTCACTATTTCATTATCGAAAGAACCAATATCCGAAAATAATTTATCGAAATCTGCTGTATCACTGATCGACGAGAACTTCCGCTTTACCCTTGTTCCGCCTTCACACTCATCACTTGGTTTCTACAAAAGAATATTTGATGAATACTTTACTACAATCCGTGATAGCACTTTGTACTGGCAGGGTTACGAGTCAGATAAGTCAATGGGAAAGAAAAAGGAGTATATTAATATTTTCTTGCTTGTGGTGATGCAGAAGGAAAATGGCAGAAAACACAAAAGCGGCAAGAACTTATTTCGGTTAGTTGACAAAAAGTAACGAAAAACTGGGGTGGTGTGCCGTGATCAAAGATTTATTTGATTTGTTTGCAGACGTAGACCCGGTTTAGTCCGTAGATCTACATATACTAACTAACATTTTAATCACAATACTAGGATTAAATCATTATCTCGACGCTTGAGCCTATGGTAAATGGCCAGTCACAGATATGAGTAAATTACACGAAACGTTAAAGTAACTTGTTTATTCTGCATATAAAGAAGGGCCAACTCCATCAGAATTTAAGCCAATATGTAGTATCGTGTGTAGATAAGCGAAGGGCAACCAAGTAATAGGCAGCTGAAAAAGTGATGCAGGCAGCTTGATAACCTAAGCTGATTGTACATGATTCAGAGCTATGGATATTTAATGTCACTAAAAATATTTAAAAGTCATCGTTCGAGAGTTCGTGAAGGCGTGGGGCGGCGAGGGCTAACCATGTGTAATTGGCGGCAATACATGTGTAGCGCCCGATTATAACTTTAAAACATTTAATTTAGAAAAACCAAACTCACAGGCGTCCAAAGAGTCATTAAAAGATTAGATATCTCATTTTCGACTTCCCGAATAGGCACCTAAATTTTAAAATATTAGAGGTCCAAATCTCTTACCTTTAATAGTGCGGAAACGCGACTTCTAAAATCCGAATTAGAACTCAAACGACATATTTCTCCCAAGGCTCCAGAAGTAACGGATATAAAGTACTCAAGCTTCACAGTCACAAAAAAATATAATTACATCATCCTCGGAAACACGTTGCGACATTTCCGTTCCCGCGTTTGAAAAAAATTTAATGGATGTAAACAGATTTGAAAAGAGTTTGTACGTGACTGTCGTCACATTCAATTTGCAAGCTAATTTCATTGCTTACAGACTACAAGACCAATTAAAAAATTGTAATGATTGTTAAGTACCCATCAGAATACACAGGTCAGGTACAAAATACTTTGATACACTTCGATTTATCTGCGTAATTTACTCCTCCACTAGGGTAAAATTTGCTTTGCTACTCATACGATATGATTAAAGTCTTTCAGAAATGCCAAGTTCATCCTTCGTCGTGGAAAATTAAATTGGCATTTAACAGGCAGTTGGGTAAACGATAGATTATAAATTGAGATTATGCATTATATTGGTGACTTGGGGCAACTCTTTGCACTACGGTAAAAATTGTTACTCTATGAATACGATCGCATTTATATTCTTAGTAGGTTAGAAGTACCAAAAATTGTTGTATCGTTACGAATGTTCTATTTTACTTCAGTCAAGGTGGCAACATTGCGTATTTCTAATGTTCATTTTTTTTTCATGTTTAATTATGCTCTTGACTAAACGTTTTTGTACAGTATTTTAGTAGTCAAGTTGAGCTCATTTTCATCAAACCCAATGAGAAAAAAATGGCCACCCCGTGACTAGATCTGGATTTAATTTAAGAATTCATTGTCGTCAAGATTTCTTTTTCTAAAAAGCACGATTGCCTGCATAATTTATCCAACTTATTATCATAAGATGCACTGATAATTTCTAGATCTTTTTTGCATGCTGTGTCAAAGAGATTAAAAATTAATTTGCTGTTAGTCGTAAGTACATTCGTAATATGAATAATTTCTTGGCTTTTACTGGTTGGAGGTGAAATGATTACTTTGAAATACTTTATAAATTTTGATCCAATTTTTTTACTTTTATTTACTTGATTAAACAGAATAAAACCATTATCATTCACTTTGGCTGCCAGCAGAGTTTTTTTGCTTAGTGCATAAATGTTTAAAGTGGGCACCGTAGCCAAATCAATAATGTTTAACTTAAGCTTGAGCGTCTTTGCAAAGGCGTTATTTTGAATACTTGCTGGGTCTTTCTTATTTGTGGATGGACGCAAAGGAGTTGGGGTTAGAAATCTTCCCAGAGCACATAACGAGGTTTACAAGCGACCATAAATATATTTCAAAGAAGTAGTTCTTTTTTTACTATTTACTTTTAGTCAATGCTCTAGGGAAGCTGAATTACTTAAAAACGTTATTGACAAACTTGGTGCAGAATCAGCACAAGTAGGAAGTTGCGCGTTTAACTTGTATAATTCTGGTTTTTTGTAGGCACAGTCCTTACCAAATATTGTAACAACTGTGCGGAGTCTACGGAATTCCAACCACAGGTTATACATAATTAAAAATTTGGATACAAAGTAGTTTGACAGCTTTCTTCTAAGTCGCCAAAGGCCAATAGGTTTTTTAAAAGTAGGAGAAAAGAAACTTTTCCTTTTCAACAATTATGGAGAGTATTTTGAAGTGGAACCCGTCTGTGTTTTGGACTTCTATATCAAAGAAGAGTGTCAGCGGAAAGGCTATGGGAGGGAGTTGTTTGAAGACATGCTTCGGGTGCGTCTAGAAATTTGTTTTTAGGGCTCTTTGTCCAGAAGTCTTTGGAGATAATCGTTCTACTGATGCTGGAGTAGTTTTTGCTCCACAAGTGTTGGTGCAACTTTCCTAACTGTAGCTTGAAAATTTTTAGTTATTTGTCTTTTATAAATTTGATTTTAAAACCGTGATGTGCTTGAATAGTATTGCAGAATTTTGTCTGCTTGAATCATTAGTACTTTCTTTTGGAAAGGTGTGCGGAATCCTTATTTACATCACAAAACATCCCATTATGATTTTCTGCTGTCGTAACGTGTTTGTACGTGTTTATTGACTTCAATAAAGATAATTAATTTAAAATTATCTTAAGATTACCAGTGGTTAGGCATTAATATATATTTTTGCGGCTTTTCCACCTGCACGTACAAACTCATCTTACAGCGCCCAAATTATTACACACTGCACCACGAAATTTTCCACTAGCTAGGTTATTGTAAACACACTTTATTCCATAAGAAATAGGCTTTAATTTATTATTACACGGTTTCTCATACTGTACAATAATTTATGACTTACTTTATAACCTGCTTTTTAAAACATAGGGGGTTAACTGCCTTACACTGATGCGAGACAGAAAATTGAATTAATATTAGCCTGTTTGATGAAAACACTTATTCTATTCGATGAAATATATTGATGTGCCTTGCCATTGCTCGTTATTGTTTATTCTAACTTAATTTTACATAATACTAATGAAGTTAGATACATTATTCATATAATGCCATTTTGGAAGCGTTACTAAATAATTTGCATGACCCTTATTAATGAATTCTAGTGCATGTATCCTAGTTTGGTGCTCACTAAATTTGGATTCCAATTGGGACTAGTACCTTATTTGCGTTAACGCGACGTGTTAAAGTGGCCGCACACTGATCACGTCGAGCACGACTATTTTATACTTTGTTGACTTTTGGGAATATCTTAATCAAACTGTCTGGATATTTGGTTAGAAGTGTTTTGCATTTTGTTGTTACTTTTCAACAACAGATTGCCACCACTTTTTATACTCTGTGATGTGAATGCTACATTATCTCACACAACTCTGTATTCAATTGTTTTGTACATGGGTACTGTTTACTACAGGGAGCGAAAGGGCTTGCAGTTCTTGTAAATGGGAAACTATGTCAAATAATGTTGCTTAAAATACTGAGCATACCAATAAGTATAAATAAATAGATATTGTTATCCCATAAATTAATATAGGAGAGTGGCGGCAAATTCCCGATTGCATCGGCACAGGAGACGTTGTATGCTTCAAATGATCAACGCTTATAATGTATGACACAATGATTTGTAGCTGATTTTCATTTGACACCTTAGCATGGCCAAAATCATTTAAGATTTTTTGTGATGTTGTGATTTTAAATGTCTTAACTGCGTGTCGGCTTATCTTGTACTCTATTTAGAGGGAAGGTCTGGTTGCCACGGATTTACCCATTGACTCTCCATCTGCAAAGATGCTTGCTTTTATGCAAAAGCATTACAACCAGGATGAACCCATTCGGCAATCCAATAACTACGTCGTATTTCCCGCATTTTTTCTCCATGTGGACTCTTTTCTTGTTCCGCGATCTAGACGTTTAGGTTTGCCAATCTTGGTGAACAATGTGGAAACCGTGGCTCCACCAAACAAATCTGGCAGATGTGTACCTCTCTTAAATCGAACGACACAAACTGCTGAATCTGAATCCTCCTATTGCCCATCAGTGACAAAAGGCAGCATTTCTTCTACTTTGCCAAAACCTTCATCTCCTTCAATACCATCAGAGCAGAAAGTGTCTGTCGCGAAAGCCCGTGCACCAGAACTGCGAGAACGGGTTAGTGTTCCTTCCCTGAGACAAGATCTAAGTTCTCTCTATAGCAAGCGAATCGGGTAAGTCTATCAATACATATTTAGCGTGTTATTTGCCATCTTGTTTCATGTGAACACCAATGTAGACAACTCCGAAAATATCTTGAGAAATTTGGTACATTCTAGCAAACGAGAGTTGAATGAAGCCTTTCTGGCTTAAAATCAAAAATGCAACCTAGCCTTGTCAATTATTCGAAGTCATTTTGTTCCTTTTTGATAGCAACGGTTGTTTTTACCGACCTAAATGGAACACATTATGAAATAGTCTGGAATTGTAATTTTATGACACCGAGTGGTAATTACTATTGATGAGCTATTTTAATGTTACATCATATTTGCAGATGACATTTTTTATTGCCTATCAGATCCTACAGAGACGCACGGACTCTTTTTAGTTATCACTAAATGTCTGTTTTTCAACCAGGCCAAATCGTATTCCTCAACTATGGCTCCTGGACTTGGCAGGAGTTTGAACCCAGCAACCATCTTGTAGTAAAATGCTTCCAGATATGTGGGTCGATGGATTTTTCGAAAGTTTCATTAAGGCTGATTTTGTTAAAAATGAATTTGCTCCAAAACTGGACACCCACGAAAATTTGCCCATTATAGAACCCGAGGCACAGTATTCCAACCTGATTCACAAAAGAATTTGGTCAGTGTTTAGTGTGTTACCTTCTTCGTGGTCCGTAAAACGTGGCGAAGTCATGTTGGTTTTTAGGTAATGTAAACACCAACCTTTCCCCCCTCTGAGCGTATTCTCTAAGGGTTTTTCCTATTCGTCAAGAGGCCTGATGTTGTTTGCAGCAATGAGTAGTCACGTTACAATCCGATGTTTCATTAACATTCGTAGAAACCAAAAACAGAAAATAATTGAAAGACTAACAACTTCGGGATGCTGTGAGATATTGATCATTACGAGATAACATTATGATGCAGCAGCAGATCTCAAAATACGTGTAACAGGCACCGAATAATTAATTTTGAACCTTTTTTAGCTGCATCGAAACCCTCGCCATTTGTTTTCACACGCGGACTTTATTTAAATCCATGTTGAAAATTGTGGGAGAAAAATGTTAAACGCACTGAAGAAGCACCAGATTCGTTTATATCATGGAAATTACTGCATAGGAAATCAGATCGTTGAGAGAGAGGTGTCATACAGGGTCTAGGCCTCATCAAACTATGTGATTAATCTGACCTATAGTTTTTTAGAAAAAAACTTCAGCGGACTAGCCAAAGTACGGAGTTTTTGAATGATTGAGTCTTGAAATAGCGAACATGGGGCAATTTATTCATTGGTTGCAGCAATAAAACATTAATTTTTCTAAGTTTCTCTACCATCAGTAGGTACAAACAACTAAGATAGTTTGCGTTTACATTTACATTGGTTTATTTCTTGAAAGCTTAAGCACATTATACGCCGTGTGTTTTTAAACTTAATCCATTCACTAAATTCCTTCCGCATGCAGCTTTTGTTCGTTTTTTTACGACGCCGATTCTACAAGACCACTATTTTGAATTGGCTTTGCTGATAGGCCATTCTGTGGGCTTTTATATCAGTAGCTTGAAACGACAGATTAAGGTCTTCGGGTGTGCTCAATGTTGCGTATATCTGACGTGTTCTTTTGAGTGTATCACAAGTAGGAATCCCGGAGGTAGAACAGGCATACATATTTTGACATGAATTTGCCATGAAACTTCTAATCAGAAGCTCCACGAAGTAGTTAGTGGCATATTGTTCAATGTCTACTCTCATATATTGCAAGACTACGCAGTTTTTCTAGTTGCTAATCGGTGTTGGCATTGACTCTAGATGTCAAATTTAAAGATTTTTGACCATTGTAGGCGTGAGAGGCTTTGCTTTGGCGTTTCAAGAAATAACTCTTGCAACTTTTATTTTATCAGCTTTCCTTTTTCAGTGTGACCACTCCGTCGGCACCAGCAGTTCATCTGCATCTTGACAATATTCTAAGGCTGAACACTCGCCAACAAAATTATAATTATCGAACTGCCACCTGGACTCACAACAGACATACGCGGCTTTGGTGACACCCTCCGCGAACAATACGGGGTTGTCACTAGCAACAAGGCTAATATATCTGTCGTGTGACAATGGCGGTTATACTTCTTCAAGAAAGCATTACTGACATGCCCATAGCTACAAACACTTTTGTACTCTCCTCTACGTCTCCCGACCCGAATCGACGTGTCACAGTTAAGAAACAGATGAAATGTATTTTTCTGCTACGGTTTAGCAGTTTCACTGTGTGTGCTCACTTTGTCCACCCCTGTATTTCCGTAAAATTTGTATTCATCTGTTTCATTAATTCAAGCTCATTCGTGACGTTGCGTTACATTCTGTGTACTAAGAAACTCTTACTTACAGATCTGCTAAATACTCTTATAAGTCCACATATAATCTTACACCTGTAGCATGTGACCGCCCCTAAGCTAGTTTATCTATGGATCATTCTCAGGCCGCATGCGCTAGGTGAACATCGTATAGGGTTTTGAAATAAAGGTAGTAGAATGGAGGGTATTTTGTAAGCTATGAGCTGAGGGCTCTGACATTAAATCTACTAACCAATTAAGCCAATGTGCTTCTAACGATAGACGGTGCTTGGTCATGTTAATTGCCGCGGGCATCTTTTTCGATGTTGATAGCCGTCTACCCATGATTTATGTTCCTCTAATTCACTGTTTAGACGGAATACCTGCCATTGGGTTGTTGGAGAGAGGTGACCAAGTCGTATTACAAAGTGAATGTGCAGTAAACTGCGTATGATTGTTTCCGCACACTCCTGGTCCTTTACCACCTGGAGCGACACTTGCTAAGCCTTTCCTCCTCTAGCATGCACTAGAGAATTCATAGGATGAAACCCTCGATTACGGCCATGCACCCACTTGGACCTCAGGCTTTCACGTTATCCCTCTCCATATTTGATCCATTCTCCATTAAATTGTTTTCCATGTGATATTCAGAGTGATGGGCATCGACTGTCAGATTTGTTAAAAGCACATAACGTAAACATGGTCAGTTTCTGCGAAAACGACTAAACTCGCCGGAATAAACAATAACGAAGACTCCGCCATGTTTGGCAATGTATGTATGTTAACCGCTCTAGTCCACTTCAAATAGTGTCACAACGAAACTAGTGTTGTGAATCGAGATTTCACGCTGCAATAGTGACAAATATTAGTTTCCGCCTGTGGAAATAGGGATCCGGGAGAAAAATGGAACTGTCAAACACAAAACATATGGAGAAACCAGTTCCTAGATCTTCCGTTGAGTGAAGTTCACTTAAGAGTCGGTAGACTTCAAGGACATCCCTCCTTACACTAGGCTCTGCTATTCGCATTGTAATTTCTCGTGCCATCCCTACGTGAATTTCTTCAATCACTGCCGTTGTCCATCGAGCTCTAGGTTTACGAGTCTCTAGCAACAGAACTAGAAGGCCCACCTTCGGACATGCCTACACCGATTGTCACTTTTGACTAGCCGCTAAGGTTATTCAAGACGCGAGTAGCTACCGTTTCCAGAATGTATCCGCTAGCAGCTGTGCTTGACACCACCGCTGTTGTAGCAGGTTGAATGAATGAAGTCTTTAAATAGCTCCAAATTATCAAGGAGAAGTTTGATCAAAAAAATCGCTTATTTTAAGAAATCAGGTCATGAGGTAATTGCTTCAATTATTATAAAAAAAACTTTTATACTAAATAAAGAAATAAAACTTATTTAGAAATGTTTTAGTCCAATTGTAGATGTCTGGTCTATTGTTATGGAGAATGCTATTTTAGGTGAATCAAATTAAGACGAAATGGTCTATGAATTGCAAGAAAGATAACTAAAACCTGCATTAAATGTATTACTTGATATTTACAAATTTACGAATTCAGTATATCTATTAAGTATTTTGCGCAATTCTTGTTCTAAAATGTTTGTAATTTTGGAAGTGATTCCAATTTTGAGAAACAAACAGTAACAGACAATGTCGATCTCAGTTTCTTGATAGTTTACGAAAAAGCAAAAGGCTAATTACGATGCCAAGGCTGTGAGGTACAAACTTATTACGCAAGTTTATTAGCTATTAAATGTTATTCAATGCAAGTGTTGGCTGGCTTTCACGAATGACATTTCTTTCTACGCTGTGTGGCAACGGAATACCCATTCTGACAAGTGGTTATTTATATTAGCGTAGGTGTCAATTACAAACATATGCCAAAATTTGAGCCATAAACTGATGCGTTAACTAGATGTTCCCTATTCTGAGTGAAAAACAATTGGCTACAAAATCATTTAAAATACTAAGCAAATTCTTAATTCATGAACCAAGAAGGGGTATTTGGTCTAATAGGACTTAATTAAAGTAATACGGCCTGCATATCAGTTTATGTAATGATTAATCACGTGTGGTAAAATAGGATAAAGTGGACAACCATGACACAAAATCATTATTGCAATTGAAATTTCAGTCACATAACTAAAAATCGTTCTCCCAAAAGTTTGTTAACGGTTCTATAAAATATTATTTTAGTAAACCTTGAAATGCATTTACTAAAAACAGATAAATCATCTAGCTTAGACTTGATGTCAAAAGAGCCAAAATTAATTTTTTATGTTCGAATTTTTGACTACTTCTTTTTTAAGGCAACATATTAGGATAGGAAGAGTGCTGGCATTTTTCCCTCTACCCTAGTAATTTTTCTTCCACCCATTAGGATTTTTGAATAATTCTAGCATTCCATCATTTGCCGTGAAATAATCATACACAGAACTGATAATTTGGTACTCAGAAAACAGCATTCGTTTTGGCGAAATTTAATTGAAAGGATTAGTCTTGTTAAGTGAGCTAATCTCCGAGTAAATGAGACAAGAAGCAATATTAGTTAAAATTAATGTTCTCGAAATTTAGTTGTCTGCTTACACCTCTATTTTACTCCTTAGAAATTTCTAAATCATTAAGAATTATTTTTGATTACCCAGCTATTTGACTACATTATACTAATACATTATAAGGGGGTTTTATAAGGGATGAATCAGATTTTGATCTGTCAAAGTACTTCCTATTTTTATTTCTACCGGTTTATTTGAACTTATCAGGCTTTAAATTTATTACACCCGTGTCTATTTAACGCAGCAATTGATATGGTTGTTCGTCCTTCACTTAGAGCTCGTGCATTACTGGACAAAATGCTTCGAGTTGATCACGCAGGCGAGTTAGGGGCTGCTTATATTTATAAGGGACAGCTAGCGGTTCTTCGTGGCCGGCCATCTGGCCATTTGATTGAGGTTGGTAAACCAATACTTTCTTTTTATGACAGTCACGTAATCAGTACAGTCATTTTTATTCGGATATTTTGGTATTCTCTATTTGGTTAGCATATGCTTGAACAAGAAAAAGGACATCTCTCCAAATTCGAGGAGCTCATTCCCTTAAACCGGGTTCGGCCATCAGTACTGATACCAATCTGGCGGACTGCTCCTTACGCTTTAGGACTTGTCACAGCACTTATGGGCAAAGAAGCTGCAATGGCTTGTACTGTTGCTGTAGAATCTGTTGTTGGAAACCATTACAACGATCAAATTCGTGAACTTCTTGCCGCAGACCCCGCCGCTCATGCCGAGCTTCTCCAGGTAGCATTTTTTGTTTATCAATTTCACTTAGCATGTTTTCTTCTATTCGTTATTTATCAAGCTATCATAAATCGGCCTTTGAAATCCTTTATTATCTATATTTCAACTGCATCTTTTCACCATGATTTGTTTTTGCAACAATTTAACTTGGGTTCGTGGTTTTTGACTTCTTTCTGCATTTACCAAGCAGGTTTAATATAGTTCAAATAAAATCATTGCGATTTGACGTTCTAGACGACATTCAGGTTATAGGCCGTTTCAAGAAAATCTCGTATACATCACAGGTACTTTATCCTAAGTTGCTTTGCGGTTGATAGATTCTCAAACAATTTCGGGATGAGGAGATGGAACATCATGATGCTGCCCTCGGCAACGACGCCGAACTGGTATATTGCATATTTTGACAGTTAGCGCTAAGTTTAACAGCAGCCATAAGTGAAGCAAAGTTTCTTTCGGTTTCAGGCGCCGTTTTATCGTCAACTTAGCCAATTCATCAGGTTTGCTTCTTTAGCAGGCATCAAAGTTGCCGAAAGAGTATAAGTTTATACGCAAGTACATGTAACCCCGAATTGTTTTGATATCACAAAACTTGCATAAAAATTCAGTTCCCTTTCTCTCCACGAATTGTATTCCCTCCTTTTTTAATAAGATCTTGTGCCATCTATGCTGCTCATCCTGTCGTGTTGGTTTTCACCCAATTGCCTTAAGGATTTCAAACTGTAGCCATTGATTTACTAGTTTCGTAAGCCAAGACCATGACTCAACGTTATTTAAGACCTTTTTAAGAGAATAAATTGTCAAACCAAAGGGTCTGGGCAAGAAAGCTGATCAAAATTACCCTTTTTTATCCAAAAGACTACTCGTGCTCCCCCACTATGCCATAATTTTGATTGAATAATGTCGCCTTAAGGACGTCTTAATGCATATACTTATTCATTGTCAGTAATGATAAGGTACAGTAACGCGAGCAAAAAAGAAGCTTGCGTTGGAAAGAGGTACAACAGAGTGCAGTTGGATGTTTTTGCGGGGTTTTGTAGAGGAAAATGGCAAACTAAGAGGGGGTAGAACCGCTAAGGTGCTCATGCGCACGTTGATGTAGGTTTGTAAATGCCACGAACTGTATGTTTAATGCCCCACTTCCTGTTCCTTGTTCAGGCAGCACTCACGTATTGTGGACTTAGCCGAATGAAGGCGATCTGATATGGGCCGAGAAGGGGTCATTGGCCACTTAAATTAGGGCATGCGCGTGTGTATGTGATATGCCATATGTTGTCAATATCCATTATTTACACAAGGAAACGTGGGTGGTGGTGGTAAATTCAAGTTACGATGTCGGGTGACTGGTCGAGTCCCTCTCTGCCGAGGGTTCAAGGTATTCCTGTCTGTTGGAAAAGTACCCGGGGTTCTCGACTGCCATGCTTCCCGAAGACGGCCTTCCACCATCACCTTAATGAGAGAAAACGTACCACTTATTGCTCGTATGGTCTTCTAGCAACAACCTGTATTGGAGTGTGCGTTCACACAGTGGCAATTATTTTGGTTTAATGTGTGGCATTATTTACGCTAAATGGGTCACGAACATAAAGCGACCCGTGACCTATTTGGATAGCTACAGGGGCACCAGTCAGTCCCAAATAATGTCATGTATGAGGGCCGTATATAAAAACCGGCATCTCCATACAAGAGTGAAAAAAATTCCGGTTCAGGTTAAAAATTGAGCACCGTGTCTTTGAATAAAGAATGTGCCTTCATTGTGAGGTCATTACTCCTAAATCTCTATAGCTTGGGTGTAATTCAAACAAATAGCTTTGCTTTCTACGACTGATGCTCGAAGTGCACATACTGTCGACGACTCAAAGTTGATGAAATAAAATTACCATTCAAAGGCTGCTTCTGGCACTTGCGCAAAGTTGTACAGCATGTAAGATCTAGCACTGAATAATTAGCCAACTTTTTATTTACTTGTGTGACCACTTAGATGATAGAGTCGACGCAATCTGTTTCTGTTAGCCTAGAATTCACAGTATGATAAGTATTTATGTGGGCTCCTGAAGCCTCACCACTCGTTCGAGGTTCGAGGTAGTCTTCCTGGTCGATAGGAGGCTTAGTTGATCCCGAGGAGCGCATCCCTCCACTAACGTCAGCCGACTTCGGTCCGACGGGTCGGTCGAGGGTGGGAAGGTAACTAACGTCCCCAGTAGCATCCAATTCGACATCATCGACGTGTTCTGCCTCTGCAATGGGCGGTGGCGGCGGCGGAGGTCGTATCATTGGTCCATAGGCTCCACTCGCTAAGAAAGCGGATGCGTTGTAGTAGTTCGGTGAAGTTGACTGCCGTTGAATGTCTGGATAAAAGTAGTTACATAAACCTAAGATAGACAACAACGTTCACTGGCGTCAGAGTCAATACGTTTGGGTCATTGGAATGTGTGACTACGCGCTTTGTTACGACACCCATGTGGTCCTCCTTGCAAGTTGAGATTTTGTTTATGGGGTCATTAATGGAATCAGTTTTTTAGGTGACAAGCTAAAACTGGAAACTGACTCCTGGAGTCTAGGTAAAAAAAAACGTAATTATTTTACAAGATGGCCACGGTGGACATGCGATCGCATTTAGAATTTTATCTTCAACTAGTGTAAAGCAAATTCAAAATCATGTACCCAAATATCCGGTTGTTCCAGAATATCCAATGCAGTCACTGCACCATAAAGTGTCAACTCAGAATGTGTCAGAACCGACCAAATTGGATTGGCTTAAGGGTTATAATAGAAATGTGCCATGCCTTTCTACATTCCTTTTAAACACCCTTATTTCGAGACACATTCTAGGCTCATGCTCAACATCACTGCCCAACCTGGTGTGGCACAAATGCCAGCGGAACTGGTCCCATCTGCAGTTGGCCAGGTGTCGAGGTTTGTAGAGATCGTAGGTGAGTTGACGTTGACAGGCCTCTCTCGGCCGTACCTTCCAGTAGCTGTCGATTGGCTTCCCAGGGTTGAGACACCGTTGTATCCCATGCGCGACTCATTCGAGTGGAAGAACATACGACGGGGGTGTGAACTGGTACTATGATGGTGGTGGTGGTCGTAGCCGATTCTGTGTGGCAGCAGGGACTGCGTCTCTGCGTTCTCATTTCCTTCAGATGTATCCTGACAAGCAAATAATCGCTGTCGGCTACAACGTTGGTCATCAAAGAATTGGTTTTCTGAGAAGCCGAAGGGAGTTCCGTTAGGTGGTCCCGCTATCCCATCGGGAACACCTCGATAACTACTTGGAAGGGGCTGCAGCTCCGTCCAAGGTGCGGGTGACGGAGTATACGGAGTGTTCCTCGTAATGGCGTATTCGTCACCCTAAAAGAAGTGTCATATCGGCTTGTGTTGAAATGCGTCGTCACTTGGCCAGGCCTGCTTGCAAGCGACGCCCCCCACACTATGGCCGTGAGCAAACCCAATCAGGATCCCGCACCGATGCCTACATTAGCTTTGATAAATGACAACGATTGCTAGTGGTGAACCCACAGGTTTGTTAGCCTTCGTGTTCCTGCAGCAAAATCTTTCATCGTGGATGGGCCAGAGTTCTCATATTGTGAACAAAATTTTGACACTGACCTTGGCATAAGGCAACTGTTTCACCTGGCATAAAATGCACCAACGCGTTGCATTAAACAGTACTAGCGGAAATTTATTTTGGCTTCTGGGTATTTGCAACGAGAACTTGAAGCAACATGCACATTCACATTCTTCGAGGGCAACTTGACTCACCTCAATATAGAGGTATCGACCTGGTGTTTGACAGTATTTGTGGAAGCACTTCATTAACTCCATGAACGTTGGCCGCGACTCGTGCTCCTCCATCCAGCCTAAACAAAATTCGTGATTTTAACTAAGTAAATAGGTAGAAGGTGCCACTGTACGGTTCAACTTACATCGTACCATGACCATATAGGTGTCAAGCGTGCATATCTCTGGCTGACTCAGCCTCACACCCTTCATTACGTGATCTTTGATGTCAGCAGTACTCACGTTTTCGTAAGGCTGCTTACCGAATGTGAAAATTTCCCAAAGCGTCACACCTAAAAAAGTTGCACAAACATTACTACTTAATTTGCAGGAGTAAATGAAATATGAAAGGTAAGAGCAATCCCACCATAACTCCAGACGTCCGTTTTGTGTGAATATATGCCATCCTGAAGAGTTTCAATAGCTAGCCAACGGATTGGAACGCGACCAGTGCGTACTACGACGCTGTCCTCATCGCTATTATCCAACATTTTGGCTAACCCGAAGTCTGTGATCTGTACGAGCTCGGGAGATTGCACAAGCACGTTTCGCGCGGCCAAATCTCTGAAGACGAAGTCCAGTAATCGATAAGTTAATATCGGGCGCACCACAATTTACAAAAAAAGCCTATTTGCGCTTCTAACACTACCAGTTAATGTACGGCGAATCCTTCACGCGAAAAGGTTATTTTAGGCTCTCGAATTCGTGGGTCAATCACGGGAGCTAAACCTATGCGCTTACTTCTTATTTATAATTTGGTGGCGTGAGAACAGAATCGGGAGAAATTTGGAATTCACTTCACTTCCCTAGATAAAAGTGGTGAAGGCGTGTGGGCAAGTCTGTGTAAAATCAACGTAACCAATAAACAATTACTAATAAAAATCCAAACAAAAGAAGCGGTGATGCGCAATTAAAGTAAAGTTAGTTCCATGTGAAAGAAGTCAAGCACAGACGCCTGATCGGAGAACTAAAATTTCTTTTTAAGGTACATCGAAAGCACGATGTAGCCACTAATTAGCCAAGAAGAATGCTAAAAGGAATTGCTGAAGGCTCTTCATCACGCATAGGGAATCGCTTGATGACAGATTTAAATATACTACGAGTGTTTAATGATTCAGCGGAGTACAATGGAAATATTTGAATTTAACTAGTAACATCTCACTGACACAACAAAAACATTTTTCCTGAGCACATGTGGGCTTTTTCAAAGCCCACACAAATTTGGTTTGAAGGAATGAGAGTAAAGCAGAGTGATAAAATAACAGAGTAGCTGAATTTGAAGTTAATTTTGGTTCATGATTTGTGAATGGTGCAGTGTATTTGCAGACGATTTACTTTGCAGTTAAAGTGGTGGAAAAGGTGCTTTTCGGAAAGTGCAATCCAACAGATTATACAAGCGTTCGACAATTTCAACGCTGTTATTTACTCATTTGAATGGACCATTAGATATGACAAGGCATCATTGTTTAATGTTTGCTATGGACACTTAAATGGAGCTGGAGGTAGTGAAAAAACAAGTTCCTTCATGTCTGGTTTTTATGACCCTCAGACGTAGGTTTGTTGGGAAAGTCAATACCTTCGTTTGCAAATACATTATAGCCAGGTCGAATAAGACCATGGGGTTGCTTGAAAGGCATCAGAAGCACTCCTTTCTAATAACGGTAATGTATATTTTTGAACTGAACGCAGGTGAAAATAGTTTCTAGAATGCATATTTCACATAATCAGGTTGTCTTAAATAACTCTGAGGTTCCGTTCATCGCCGTTACCACTAAAGTACGTGTACAGTCAACATAAACATCGACCAAAGTAGGATTTCGATTCACATAAGAACTAGGATTCATGTTTTCAATCAAATTTTTTTAGGCTTTTTCTAGAAAAAAACCGGATTTGCAGAAAATAACCAAAGGATATATACAAACAGCGTTTTTTACCGGTGAATGATTCCTCGCTCTTCGAGGTAAGCCATGCCGTCCGCAATCTGCTCAGCCCATGAAAGAAGCGTAAAGCTGTTCAGCTCGTCCTTGTGCAGACGAAGGTAACGATCCAGACTTCCAGCCTCCACGAAAACCGACACCATGCACTGCATTTTGCGTGTCAAACAGACGCCAATGAGGGGCAGACAATTTTTGTGTTGCACCGAAGCCATCACCTTTGGGTTAAATAAAAATAACACAGTACACGTGTGCAACTCAACAAATTTTGGCCAATTACTAAAATATTAGCATGCTTTACACTTTATCAACGTGGAAAAAAAAACAAAAAAATACAGTGTCGACTTTATTTACAACGGACTTCGCTTAAAAAACAGCCCACGCCATCGATTCAGTGACTTGTACTGGACCGTAAAATCAGTGAGCCTGGAAACGTCTGGTGGGATTAAGAAGAATGGAACTAGACAATTTGGCTAAAAGATTCGGTGGTGCTTGTAATGTCTCAGAACACGTGTTTCTCTTCTTTCCAATTAGGACCAAAATGCATGCTTAGTCAAAACTTAAACGTGAACACAACACATAATTTTTGGATGAGCGTCATGCAACGTCATAGTAAATATATAAAAAAAGAAATCAAGATTTACACAAACTGTCCAATAAGGCTTGCTTTTGCTTTCAGGCAACGCTAAACTTCCATAGCAGGAACTCGAACACACCGATAGCTGCTGCAGTGCAACAGTTGCCAATCTATGCAATAGTCATTACAATAAATTCAAGAACAGCAGCTGAGAAAAATTTCGGGTTAGAATACCATTTTCCTACAATGCTTTGTGATTAGGATACTAATAAATACGTTATGGGAGAGGAATCAAATTTGTTGACACATCATAGAAATGGTCACGTCTGCCTAGTATTTACCCTTTGAAAAGGTTCAACGACAAACACAAGATGTCAAGTTGTCCTGAATTCAGTTTGGCCTTTAATACTCTCGTTCAAGAATTTTAAATAGCCAAAGGAAGGGTATAGTTTTGGATTTTATGCGATTGCTTCTACAAACTTTCAGTAATGCGTGGACGAATGACAAATCTCAACTCTTTATCGGTTTATTCTCACAGTAATTAAAAACGGAAATGGCTGGGAAAGGTGATTGGGAGTAAAACACAAATACTTTAACCATTCAATTGAAGGTCACAATAGCGCTAAAATCGGGTGTTTACGTGCAGCTGGAACGCAGCTGTTGGATATTTGTGGGCGAAGATCATTTGTTAAATCACTTTGGGAAGATTATTTTCTCTCGCAGTTAGGTGTTGATATGGGAGTATCCAAAACACTGAACAGGAACTAAAGATTAATATTTTCAAAATCAAAAATCACCACTTCTTACATACCTGCTGATTCACAGGCCATATGTCGCCCTTGATGGGTATTTCGTGTTATAAAAATGCTTTTTTTCCACTAGGCTGGTGAGCATGGGCCGCTGTGGTTAATAAGCCCGCCTAACAAGCAAAAGCCTCACTGAACCGCTGATGACATGTTGAGTAGGGCCTCGAAGGCAATGTCACAGATGTAGAAATCATCCAACCTTCCAAGATGTGAAAGAAATGTTACAAAACGATATAAAATAGCTGAATTTGGAAAAGTTTGGAGATCTCGCGAAAACAGACTTGCACGTTTGCAAATCATAGTACACTCTGCCCAACTGACACATCAAGTTGTAGGTCCACGTAGTTCTTCGGGGCTAAAGCTTGATGGACAGAGGAGGAGAAAGCTGTCTACCCTGAAGCGTTTCGATGTTGTCTCTATACATTCGACATAAAGGCTGCCGAATCAAATTTTAACACATGGGGACAGCTAGATTGCACCGCTGTTGTCATAATTGTACTTTTAAAATTTAAACCACCTATCTAGCACTTCTGTTCTTGATCACTTGAACTAAATTCCCCGCTATTTGGAGTGATTTCTGCAATCTGGAAAATCCAAAATCGTTGGCCAGAAATCTTAACAGTGTGACCTAGTGGTTCACCCACCTCTGCCAGAATTGTGAAGTGATTTCATTGCTGAAATCGAACGTCTAACTGCTAACATTAGCAAAGCCCACTTGTAGAAACCTATCAGAAGCGTTTCTAGCCCAGAAAATAAAGTTTTTCTCATCAATTTGCTGGCATCATGTAAAAATCACGTATCCTCTGAATTGACGCACAGACACCCCACCACATGTTTGCCTCACAAAATAACCTACCCAAATCAAATGTCAAAACCGTTGAATACGCTTCATCGTTAAATGGTAGAAGCGATTAAGTGCGCTCACCCACCACAGGCCTTCAAGACGGGCGGAATTTTAATTATTGTAACATCTTATTTTTGCCTTGTGAGTGCGTGTCACGTTGATCAGACAACAGAATAATAGTCGAATGTCATACATTACCTGAGAGCATATATATATATATATATATTTGATAGTTGTATTCGCACCCATATCGCATTTTTCCAGAGTTAATCCAGAAAAAATTGTCTCACTCCAGGTTCGGAAATTCATCATTACCACATGCCTAGCTCAGACAATGCATTGCGCAACCTAACCTGTAGAAATTGTTAACTAAAACAAGACAGCTACAAACCATTGATGTGTCTAATGCAGCTCATAAGGATTTCATTTGATCGTTGAATGTCTTACGTGGCGTACGTAAAACCTCAACAACAGAAATCCACAGTAAAACACCAGAAATGTGTTAATTTTTACGTATCGTACCACAGTGCTCCATGATGCGGTTCATATTCAGGATGCCCGGATGCCCAACAAAACTACCGTTCAGATTCAATAAGAAGTAATTGTAATGTCTGCATTCTACTTGAGGCGGAATTAATAATCAAATATTTTCCCACAGCCAATCCTTCAAATAATGCGTGGATCTATGGCAGATTAGCCATATTTCATCAAAGGCGTACCATCTGCTATACCTTTCAGAAGTGCACAAATATCTTTTGCATAAATATTTCACATTCCTAAATTGCCATGACTAAATTCCCGGTTAAACCTACGATTTATAGGGTTAACAAATTAGAATCAAAAAATTATGCCACATCCTACTTTTACTCACGCAAGGGTAAATAAAGTGCAATCCACATCTTTGACGCTAAAGAAAATTTCGTTGTGTATTATTAGGGTGAAACACGCTCAAACCGAGCCAGATTTTCCACACAGACCAACAGCAAACTTCTGACGAAACAAAGCCAACGCTACGACTAGACAATGGGAATTGAGAGGCTGAAAGCATAACACTGCACAAAACACACAATATATCAAATATATTCTAGCTTAAGTGGCACAACAGCTTGTATTCAACTGCAATAATGCCTTGCCACGCCAAATGCCAGACCAGCTTGGCAAGAATTTTGTCAATTCACCAGTGGAATTACAGCACGCCATGGTTGTTTGGTCGTGTACAGCACGCACCCAAGTTACTTTAGCAAAGGCCCTTGCCAATATCTTATGAATTTTTGTATACAATGGAAGTAAAGTCACACCGCGTTAAAAGCTAGTATTCACTTAATGGCTTGGATGAGTAGTTTCTCAGCAGAATAAATGTAAGATAGTTGATCTCAAATGTATCACATCTTTACAACTGTGACGATCAAAATGAAGAAACGTAATGGGTAGCCAGAGATTTAAAAAAATTGCTTAAGCCAAAAATGTCATTTTATTGTTTTAGCCTTCTTGATATACGTTCAAAAGTATCGCGCTTCGAACTCAAAATGTTCCGGTAAACTTCCAAAATATTAATTAAAAAGAAAAATTTCTTAAAATTCCAGTCCGGCGTAGTTATCTCATATCTGGAAGAAATATGACACAGTTGAGGTTTTTTCGAGAAGTATATCCTGTACTGGGGGTAAAAATAAATAGTTGTTTAAAAAATCTGACCAAGGTAAATACTGTAAGCCGAACATACCTTTGCTTCACTCAGCATGTCCTGGAGATTGCTCCTAGCCGAGATACGTTCGATGGTAGTAGCATTGAGTTGAGCACCTGTGGACGAGGCAGAACTATCAGAAACGGAGGCGGACGTGTTATTTGGTGTAGTTGGCGATCTTATCACCTTGATGGCTACGTCAAGCGACGTCGACCGGGCAAGGTTAAATTGATTTAAAATTCGTTTGGGAACACGCCATTTGCCTCTGAAGACCTCGCCGAAGGCACCCTTCCCAATGGGATTGTCTGGATCCTCGAAGGTTAAGTCGTCTATGTTGATCATCTCCCATCGCCCCATATTAGGTTCTCTGCTTGCTTTCGCATCCTAAAATAGAAAAGGCCCTAGTAGCGGAAAATATTTAGAGAACTTCAATTGTGGTTTTTTAATAAAAGTAAAAAAAATAGCTCAGAGTAGCCTGTGTTTCAAACCTTCTACTCTGAAACTCACCACGTACTCACTAATTCAATTCAATTCCCCTGTCACGTTGAGCAAAATAGCTCGAAGTAACTACGAAAACGCAATTGCTTGTTTATCGGTTACACAAACCTTGGGGTTGATTTGATGCTTCAGTGAGGAAGGCGGAACAGGTGCCACAGTTCCCAACAACAATACGCGCAAATTGTTAATTTTATGCAGTCTGATGCGGTATCAATTTCAAGCTATAATCCCTCCATACGAGAGATGGTTTCATTTGACCTTACAACGGAACTTTTTAGCGACGAGACAACGTTTATGCTATAATCGTGTCACAGTAGGACGCTAAAGGTGCCCAAATTACTTTTCAAACCTAGAGGAATAAAATATTACACTTAAAATTGGTAGAGCAGTTTCGACGGCTGAAAGGGAATTTGAGTTATATATGTTTATGAGCTTGTCCAAATGTCTCCTTAATATTAAAGCAACTAGTAGAAATTCTACTAAATGAAAGCTAAAATACAGTCGTGAGGCTGGTGGCATTGAAGTATTCACTAAGATTTAACCAAATAAGTAGTAAGAAAATTTGGGCATTTCAAGACTTTCCATAAACATAAAAGTGCCTTGTTTACCAGCACGTAAATATCTTTTAAAGGCATTGTTGAGGGTTATATGTGGTTTCGCAGAATGCATGTATGCATAAACATTCCATCACAACTAGCATTCACCGGGAAACTTAGTTTTCATCTAAATCAATTGCCTTTTGAAAGTGTTACTAGGTAGTATCCCGTAACTAATGCCTGATAATTAATGTTGACATAAGAATTCACATCAGATTTTGCTAACGCACATATACATGTATGAGACGTTTTTTGCGGAAGAGATGGAAATTTTCGTTCACCCTCAATAACCAAAGCAAAAATAATTTAAACACTTTACCAATAAATTGCCATAGCAACACAAACAATTACCTCGATTATACTTATTGTAAGCGAATGGCGAAATATGCATCACCGAATTTTGTGCAGACATTCATCGAGCGAATGTCGATCTCTTGATTTGTTGCAGGCAAGAACTCAAGCTAAACTAACCCATCTTGCCATTAACAGGGTCACACACATGAATAAAGCAGTCATTAAATCACAAATCTACACTAAACCCTGACGAAAAGTAATATTCACATGGAATATTAGCCCTTAGTTTTCAACGTGCATTCAAACAAGGGCAAGGAAGGAGGTGTTCTGGCTCACACGATGTCTGTGTCCAAAGTCAAGGAGGAGATCAAGGAGTCGTGCCGTTCTGCCGTTAAATTTACCACTAAAGTAACGTCGGTGACACTAACCATGCTACGTGTTTGACTGACGTTGTCACGGCAATCAGAGGACGCCTGTTGCGCAAGCAGTTAAGGTAAACCAGAATTTCTGTCAATCACAATGCAAAAATATAAATCGTGTGGTTTTTTTCATGATTCTAAAGGTTTTATTTTATGCAAAATAGAGGCATGGCCGATTTCATGTTAAATTTTAGGGTTCAAGTAGACTCGCAGTACCATTTAGCTGCGGATTATAGTAAAAAATTACGGTGAAAACATTTTTGAGTGAAATAGCAGAAATTTAATTTGATGTGTGCCCCAAACTAGTTTGAGTGGCGTTGCCAAGCTGTCATTTTAGAGGTCATTTAAGAATCCAATTCACAATTGCACAAGTTTGCGTGTTAACTTTGCTGCTCTTGGATACCTGGGATACTGAGAATTGCACAAATAACTCCAAGCCATGAATGTTAATCATTGCTTAAGTGTTAAAAACATCCAAAACAGCGTGGTGATGAAGCCAAAAACGAAAACCTCAGTCCTTGAGTTTTAGGGCTAAAGAAAAAGTGAATTTTTTAATGCCAAAAAACGGATTGCCCCTGCAATTATGCACAGCAAACTAAGGCCTAGACAATAATTATGTCGGGTTTCTTCTAGGATACATGTGTATCGCAGAGAAATAGTTCTATAAAGTAAAAAATGTTTGAAGGTAAAATATTTAGCGCAAACGTTTCTTAACCTTTTTAAGTTGCTCAATTGTCAATACACCCAGCAGACTATTCGGGTCTCAAGTGCACACATTCTGCCAAATGCATTGGTAATTTCGAAGTAACGATCCATGTAACTACTTAAAGTAAGCGTCTGGTATCAATTGTGTAACAACCACATCTTTCATTAGTTAAATGTGTACGTTTTCAAAGTTTAAATGAGTCTGTCTATTCCAAAGTTCGTATACGTTTTACTGTTGCATAACAGTAAAGAATGCACATGACATCTGCAAATAGTGCGTAAAACACTAATAACCACGGTTATTTTCAGTTTACCCGATGGCTTACTGTCGATGGGATTTAGCACTATAAAATAGTTCTTTAAAATGCAGCGTACAGGGACATGTAAGTGACTACAACGAAACCAAGAAAAATCCATTCATGATTTCCTGCTGCCCTAAAATAATGGCAAAAAACATTTGAATACCCAATAGGTGGAATTTTATTTTGATTCAAGTCAGTAGGGTACTATTTAGCTGAGAGATATTTGTTACGAGGCGTTCTACTTACGTCAACGGCGAAAAAGGGCCATGATTTAAGCACCAAGTTCCGGACTATTATTACACAACAAAGCAAAGAAACGTTTCCTGCCTGCAAACTCTAACCTTCATGTCTGGGGCCTTAACGTTGGTGTAGGTGGACTTCAGGGCTTCTTTAATGCGACTGCGTTTGGCCTTGTAGTTAAAGCAAAGGACAGCGAAGACTATGGAGAAAATTAGGATAAAGAGGAGGACGAGGCCGACGGCCAAGAGCACTTGGTTTCGCGCCTGCGCTGCTTTCGAGCCTGAGATTTCTTCGTACTGATCTTCGTCCAGGCAGAGGTTGGTGTTGTCCATTATGTAAGGCTTTTCAGGGGGACAGGTTGAATTGCAAATAAACTAAAAAAACCAAATACGGGAAATGGGATAAAGACGGTTAGACGCAACAGTGGAAAACAACGCCTTACAATAAAACCGAAGCCTATGTTAGCGAAAGCCAGTTGCTTAGAAAAACAGAATTTTGACGGTTCAAGATAGCAAATTAGTAAGCTAATCGAAAAAAACAGTCTAATTTAACACAGCTTTTTCGTTAAACAATGTCAATACTTGGATTTTCTGGGCTCATTTTCTTATGTGGACTTTGTCGTACTTGGTGAAAACAGCTCATTCAGAAACAATAAGTTTCTGGGAGGCATATTCCACTGATACGACCATCATTTTCGTTTGCATATTTATTGAATATTGTGACAAAAATATGGTTAAAGTATACGACAAAGAAAACTCACTAGATGTGGCTGAACATAATTTGTAGCTCAAAATACCTGATTTTTCATGATTATACCTATTTTTAGCAGAAATATATAGAGAACAAATTACTCTTTATTTTGCTTGAAAGGTATAGAGCATTGTTAAAGAACAGGCTAACAACAAGACATTGAATTGTAGTGCCATTCACTTCATTTTTAATGACTTGACATGAGACAATGTTTGGGTACTTTACTGCAAGGCAAACAACTTTACATTTAAAGTTTATTTTTTATTGCCGATATGTCAAACAAGCAAGCTAAAAATGCTGATTGATTGTAAATTTTATTAACAGGCCAGCATCTGGCGGTCGTAATGACCCATGTCATTACTTTTATAAAAGTGCTCTTTCAACCAAATAAATTCATTTATGCCATCAACCGGCATCACATTTTGACAATTCTATGCTAATTGCGGGAAAATTGGGTATTAACCAATACTTCGTACTGGCCCTAAAGTAACATCGTACATTGGTGGCATGCTTAAAAAGAAATATTTTGCATATTTTCTAAGTCGAGTGCATAAGCGGCATTGCAGAAGTAAAGTCGAAGTACTCTTGGAGCGTTTGTGAAACGCCTGAGAAAAGAGATAGGATTGGCTCTTGCGAAACTCAACCTAATACGGTCACACGGGTCTCAAAGCACGAAATTCCCTATTAGCATACCAAAGTAAGGTAATTTAAGAAATTTGTGTTAATGACAGAAAATCCACTTTGGGTAAATTAATGAGCCTTTGATAAATTCTTGTTGAGTAGCAAACAAGACATAAATACTGATTGATCAAAGTACTTTTCACCATTCGATTCAAATAAACTACGTGGATAAAAAATAGAAACTGGTCGAACAGTCTTGCAACCGGTTACTACAGACCTTTATCGATCAAATGTCATTGTGTTTTAAGAGCACTTTAAAAATTATTGAGCTTAAAACCACTACTGATTCATCTTGTGCTTATTTAAATCCTTCGTTCAATGGGAACCTAGCTTGTGGACTTGTAACACAAGCTAGTTAGGGATGATCCAAGACCACAAGTACATGTTACGTCCTCATTATTTTAAACATTCTCAATAAAATGATTGTGCCTTTATGATTGTTACGATAATCAATCAAAGTTAACGTTAAAGTAAAGTTAAATCAACGCTTTATTTGGTTATATAATCAGACGTTCTAGATAAGCCAATATAGTGTAAAGATGTACTGGCATAACAAGTCACAAAGCACTTTTTTTAAAAACAGCTATAATAGTAAACCCGTTAATTAGCCAAACCATACCTCATTTTTCTGAACGTCGATAACAATTTTGGCATATCGACAATTTTTGCAGAAATTTGGACCATAAGCCGTACAGCCTCCGGAGCACTGAGGGTGACACGGGAGACACTCCTTCCTTTCGAGCATAAGTTTTTCTCTTTCAGATAGCCCCGCCTCCTCGGTCGTTGTATTCGGCATGTAAGTTTCATCTAAGAGGAAAAGCGTGGTCTAAGATGTCAACTCGGAAGTGATTGACAGGTACGGCTGTTCGTGGTTTCGTAAATTAAGGCATTTTATCAGCTATTGTTTGAGAAATGGCAAAAAATTATTACTATTATGGCGAACCATTTCGGTGCTACTTAAGGTTATTGTTTCTCAACTCAAAAACATTTTGATGGTGTAATTTGCTAGTTAGTTTCAATCGAGAAATTGGTGAACAGCGATAGACGATGCATGTTCGTTTTAAAAACGCCAAAAAATAAAACGCGCCAAGTACGATAACCCAAAAAAGTTTACTTTATGGAACAAACATTTTTAAGGCGCTGGGCAGTCCAATTTTTTTAATTTAAAATAATTGAACAAAAGAGAACACATATTTTAAGGGTACCAGTTATGTGAAGACGCTGTTTATCGTCCGTTGTGGTCTGTAAGAAGAATTTCTGATGCAAACAAATTACCTTTCCAAGACCTCACACGTACTTTCAATGCTGGGAAGATTTAGGCAGGAGATTTACAAGTAATGCTTATTTAGGCATTCTACAATTTTAGTAGTTTAAAAAGTTTGGTGAGCTAGCTATACTTGGGTTTGAACACGGCATCAACAGATTTGCACAGGTTCACATCAAGTTCGATTTCGGCTTTGCAGTAAGAGTCTACTCAAAAAACAATCCTCGAAATAAAACAGAAAAACATGAAAAATTTTTATATTATATAAATTAACCACGAACAGATGAATTGATTAGCCTATCATCATAATCTCTCCGCTGTAATGAAAAAAAGCTTAGGGAATTTTGCCGAATGACTGAGCTTCTCCTCGTGTTAGTGTAAGATTTAATTTCTTGCGAATATCCCTAAATGCCCAGGAATGAATACCTTTGCTTCAAAACGTGTTAATGGACTAATAACAAAACGCTTGCTAGTTCCCACGGCGCAAAGCAACAGATGACTCGTTAAGAAAACAAGTTTTCCCACCACGCTAAACCCATAAATATCCTTCGTGTTACCGGTTTTGAAACATCTTAAGTTCCATGCATTAGCAAATTGAGCAAGCTAACGTATCTAGACAAATTATTGGCTAAAAAAAACGTCCTAAAAATTCCTTGAATTACAGTTTCGAGGTTTTTTTTTAATTCCATTGGGGGGCCCCAGTACAACAGATTTATGTGGCAAAGAAAGTATTGAATGTCCACGATTAAAATCAGTAGCTTAAAATCAATATAAAATTGGCTGCTTGAAATCACAAAGTATGGGATCTAATTTGTCAACTGATGACTGCTGAATGGCAACAACTGAGGTTGCCTCCCAAGTAAAGTGAAAATCGCAGCTACCGTCAGTTGTTCAACATTGATTAATGACTTGACTAGTTTTATGCCAACCAAAAAGTTTGTTTCCACAAACGTAATTGTCTCGTTTAAGTCAATTTTTAATGTAATAGTTTCAGTCAGTGGCAGAAATTAGTTGGTATTTTGTTCCTGAGATTACCAAACTGCTGAACAGAGTGCGAACACGAAAAAGTTGCCTTTTTAAAAGACTTATAATCACAGAAGATCTGATGCTTTTTCTTTGTTTGTTTGACAAACCGTTAGGAATATGTATAATGAGACTAGTAAATTTAACGTTTAGCTACAATGGTGACGAAAATTATCGAAAGCTACACATCATATTACTAATTTTAGCTCAAGTGCACATAACAATAATAACAAATGCGTTTAAATTTCTTTCTTAAGATGATTCTTTCGTAGGTTATTAGTGACAAGCTACTTTCATCGTACTATTATGATCTTGGAATTGAAGGGCATACACAAATGCAAGGTTAACTTGTTGAAACCTTAAGAAGTGTGTTTGTCTAGACAATGGTATATTTTCAAACTTACGATCACAGGCCTGATAACTGCCTAACGCTGTCGCGATGCAAAGCCAACAAGGCGAACAGATCAAATACTAATTATTCACAAGATTTACATAGGTACATTTTTGGTCTGAAAAACTGATTAAGAGACTCCAACTGAACGTACTTTACAAAATTTAAAAAAGTAACCTTTTGGATAACGGTAGAACTTACCAGGCGGGCAGGTAGTGACGCATTCGGAGCGATACATCCAGTTGCGACACTTGCGGCAAACTGAAATGTGTGTCCCAGGTCCAACGCAGACCTCGCACTGAGGGTCGCAAGGCACGCACTCCTGCAAAGCGAAATTCGCTGCCTGAAGGTTCCCCAAAGAGAGTTGCTCTTTCGTTAAATCGAGGTATTTCAACTGGGTGGCGTTGCCAAAATGCTCTTCTGGACATCGCTCTTCTAAACAGATGTACGTCGATGTTGCCTTATCTAAAATGCAAATGGAGTTCTTACTACACGGGGTAAAATAGAACACTTACATTCGGCGACAAATGTTGTTTTATAAATCAACAACTAGTACGTCAAAACGTGTTAGGTGACTGTGTCCAAGTGGATGGATACAATGGAAGTGCCAATAAAAGCGACCTTTTTCAACGAATTTATTCCTATCGTTTGAAGTGCCAGAATCTTTCATAAAGTCAATTGGGCATGAAAAATTCGACAGCAGCCTTACTCGGCCTTCATTTTTGAAATCAAAGCAACTTGAAAGTGGTATAAATAAGCATTGTGCTCTGCTGGGGTATTTCGGCAGGTAATAGAGAGGGATACACCATTAAAACATTGCAATGGTAGCTGCATTAATGGTCTCAAAGTAGCAGTACATTTTACCCAAAGAGTGTAATCCGGATGATTATGAAAGAAAATAATGGGCTAGTCTGGGTCTTTCATCTCGCCGTGGAACCTACAATTGAGTTTATTTTATACTTGAATTATCGTTTTAACTTTGCAGCACTTTTAGTCAAAATAGTGGAAAATGAATCACGTTTCATGATAAATTAACAAGGGCTGCTGTAAGGGCAGTTGTGCTCAAATAATGGAACTTTCATACCTCGCTGAACGAAGTAGCAGAATGCACATCCACCGAGCCCCAAGTGTCCACCGGGTCCAGAGCATGAAGACACTTCTTCGGGAAGGAAGCCTGCTTTAGTGGGAGGCAGACAGACGGGGTTGCAGGGGAAACATGCCTTGGCTGCCTCGTCAGCATACTGGTCCCGAGAACAACGACGGACGCATTGATCACCAGACTAATATAAAGACGACAAAGCAACATTAGGATCTTGCTTCTAGTAACTTTTTATTGGCACCAGACGCGTTAAAAGGCTAAATTTAATTTTTTTCACGTAAGCAAATGCGTCATCAGTACATCAATAAATAGCAAATTTGGGTATTAATTGACTTTTTTTGTAGGTGTGACCTACTTTCTGCAACATCCATGTTTTTATAATATCCTATTTATCATATGATACGTATTTTTCACCTTATGTGTTCCAAAAAGGAGTTATTTGGATAAAACAAATATCGAAGACGAGAGCTAGGGATACTTGCCACCTGCTTAAAGCAGTATTAGTTTCCATATATATAATATTATTGTGTCGATTATTGCGTCTTTAATCTACAATCGTTTTGTTTCTTCCATTCTACCGCTTTAAAAGATTTGGAAAATAAAAAAAGACAGTCGCACAAAGTGCGCGTGCCTTGTTTTGCATTTTACTCTGCGTCAATTATGAAAACCCAACCTTATTTAATCATATAATACACCAAAGTAAAGACAAAACACGCATATTTCTTAAATGGAGGAAACGTTTCATCATGGGCGAATCTTAAATTAAGAAAAACAAAGCACTGAAATGTTTGAAAATAGCAGCCACATTGTGAGTACAATTTAAAAACCACACACTTATTACTGTTACTTACGCAGAAAATACCTCCGAAACCTGTGATATCGACTAGTCAAGATGTTTGCTGACGATGTCCCTGGTAAAGTGTATGCAAATTGAGAGCATGTGTACATACACCGACCCCATTTATGGACCCTTGAATGCAGGAAACACCCATAACTTACTCTTTGAGGCAACACATCAGTCAGACAGCCTTACATTGAGGGGCAAATACGACCATCAGATGCGTTAGACTATACCTGGGGCTGGTGAGTAGTCGAGTGTTTGAACTTACGATCCGGGATAGTATTATGCATCACTCTGATACTCAGATACATACACTGACATTAATGCATTTTGTGCCTATCAAATGAACACCACCAAAAGCTTATGAACAGCACTAACTGATTTAAAGATGGTGGCATTTAATTAAGAATGCAAAAATATTGACCCGCTTCCATAATCACGCTTATGCAACAATATTTTAACACGACACCAGGTTAATCATATAATTTAAACGAACCAATGCATGTGTTCGTGAGCTTCAGCTTTGGACTCTGAAGTGTATCACAAGGGTAATGCGAATGTCTGAAAATCCAGGGCCACTGCCAAGAGTCAGATCTATTAGGCAGTGCTAGGTAACTGTCTAGAGGGAATCAACTAACTCGAAACACCAAGAGAGCCGAGTGAAGGTAAAGCTATTTTTCTATTATTGGCAGTTCAACAGCTGTCTTTTCATTTCATTGCACAAACGTCAAAGGGATTCGTCTTGGCAATCAGATTATTTGTTAACTTGTAATTTAAAGCTAAAATGTCTAAGCCTATTTTGGCCCATTGAATTTGCAAATTAAATTTTTTGAGACGAGAGAAAGTTATTTAAAATGAAAAACGAAACAAATAGCCGCTTTGAAAACACTCATTATGATGGCATATTGGAAGTAAAATAGTGGTAGAACTTGACTTATATCATTTACATCTAACCCAAAAAGTTATAACAACGAGATAAATGAATGGCTGAACAGAAAAGAATTTTCAAAATGTGCACGCATTTGCATGACATTTGTCAGGTCACAGTCGCCACAAAAAACGGCTCGTATGTGTCATTCACTGCCTAGTAATATGTAATTATCACATTCCAGCTAAGCGTTACATGCACTGACAGGTGCGGAATTTCGCTCACTGATTATTACACATTATTTGTGTGCAACATTAGCTACAATGCAAGGCAGGGCTCAATATCTGTAGATGTTTTCACTTTTTAACCACCAGGGATCAAAGAGTTGTTCAGAAAGGAAATGCATATTTAGATTTGATTAATTTATTATTTTGACCTGCAATCAGCCATGAGATCACACTTTTTAGTTATCGCTACGTCTTTTTGAAAGCATTTTAACAAAGGCCACAAAAGTCCTGAAAAAGACTTCAACTGAAATTGGATTTTGGATTAAGTACATGTGAATGCGTTTTCAGCACACGGGATGATTTTGGCTTATGTTGCCAACGTGTTAGTCACACCATTTGTGTTGCACGTAAGACCAGACAGCAAGAGCCACCTTCGCCTAGTTGCAATGAGAATGCCAACCCAGGAAATCAGACGACGGCACACCCCAAAGCCACTGTTCAGGGTTTGTGGAGACAAAAGCATAAAGTGCAAGAAAATCTTGCATAGTAGAATCAAGGAGTTCCATTATCTACACACATAGGCCAAATAGGGCATAACACACTTTTAACTGAGTGATCTTTAGAAATTGTGAGAAAGTCATTGGATTGTTCACTAGCCTTTTAAATAACGGCTTTCACCAAAATGACTTTAAAACCCCAAAATATCTTAAGTAGTGAAATGTAAGAGTTATTTCATCAAGTGTCCAGCCAGGTAACTTCGAAAATGCAGGCACCAAAGGATCAGAGTAGCAAATGGAAATGCATTCAATCATTTTTTCAACCAGATATTCAAACATAAAATGGGCTCAGAATGAAACTAACGATCTTTGCTAATGCCTATTTCCGCTTGACGATGTGGTCGTCCGTGCTGTCGATTAGACGAAACCAAGCGCTTATTTGCGCTTAGTTGATGCTTCTTTGACTAAATCGTATGTAACTGCTTTGCTATTGCATACGTCCATTTCATAAACTAAATCAACACATTAATTTGGAAGGTCTGAACCAAACATTAACGAAAACATTGTGTAGATAACCGACATTAAACTAGAGAATCACTAAATTAAGATAATATTATGTCAGTGGCCAAAAATACCTGCATTGATTAAAACAATGCTCATTGATAATCGAAGATGATTCGAGAATTAAGGCGAATCTTTCGATAACATTGTAACAATCAGTGACACAAAACGCAATGAGTAGATTACTTAAGCTTGCCTCAAAACTATGCAATATGTCAGAATTTCAATAAGCCGATTACAAAGACTTGCTTATTCCAGCCGTTCAGTCACATTAATTAAACTTTTTCATTTAACAGGCGGTTGTATAGATGGTAAGACAAACAAGCTAGATGGATCTGGATACCAATGCATCACGATTTTTACTTTAGTCATCACCCTTGCGATTTTCCTTCCTAAGTACGTCCTAGTGGTGATTGGTAGAAGATATCGGGAACAAAGCATTTGTGTGGATATCAGGTAAGGACTTTGCCTAGTTGCGTTTAAGTCAACCCGCAAAGGTCCTGGTTAGAAACAAAAGATTATTTATCATTATACTGCTTTTAAAAGGCTTCGAAAAAGTAATTTAGCTACACTTTCATCAAAATGTTATTTTCATTACACCAGTTTGCGCCTACATAATATGTCACCAGTTCCTGTCAGAGTACTAAAGTAAATTCATCAAAAATTATAAAAAAATCAAACGAATCCAAGTTTGTTAGACGCAAATAATAATAACAATGAAGTCACAATTTCTTGGCAGAATATCATTAACTGCAACGATTTTTACTACACGACGGATGTGGGTCAGACGAACACAAGTGGTGTATTATGCAAAGCATACCTTAAAATGTTTGCATTCGCCGATACATTGATCAGCCTCGGGCCCACTACAGGTTTCAGCACACTCCTCATGACAGCGTGCACATTGCGGTGCGGGCTGGACTGAGATAAGCAGATCTCTTTCATTGAGATTGGCGATTTTATCCATCTTCAGGGGCAGGGTTCGACACTGGAAGGCAGCTGAGTTGTTGAATATTGCACTTCCATGCACAAGAGCCGCTCCCAGTTGAGAGGGTGCGTAGAACCCCGGCACGTCGGAGCACTTGGAAACGCAAATTCCGCCTGCTTCGAAAGCACAGCAGTGCGCGCACATCGAGGGACCGGGACCCCAGCAGCCTGCCTCGGGCAAACACTCGCTGTGACACACGTGACCCTCCCTTACTAGAATGCAGAAGCAAGCAAGCACCTTTGTGTAGCACTTAGAATGATGTCACACTGCCATTCGATAGCCATAAGATGCAAATGAATTCATAAAACTGAACCTCTTTTTATAGACTATTGGACAATTCCCAGTAAAGGCTCTTGAGTGGGTCGGAGAATTCTGGACAATTATCAATTTTGATTTGCGTTTTGATAGTGAATGCTACTGTTTATAACTTGAAAATGTAATGTGTTGATTTTTGCCATGATTGTACAATATTTTGCCCAATAAAATTAAAAAAAAGCATTCCTTAAATCATTCATAATTTAGGTACAGATATTAATTAGTAAAACAAGCATGATTCACGTAAAATTGGACACCGATTCTTGAGGATATCTGGTTTGGTACAGAATTTTCCCCTTTAAAATATTTTTCTGAAACTACGACAAAGCATAAGAATGGCACCTTGGACATTCAGCTTGACGAACCGTCGTGGAGAGAGAGAGAGAGAAAAATATGCATTAATTCTGGCGTACGGTTAATTAACACTGGATAAATCAAATCATTTTTCACAGTTATCGATGTACACACCGCTTATATTGACTGTACCAGTACTATATTGAAAACGTAAATATTCGTGATTGAGTACTTCAGACATTTAGAAAATGGCTTTAATAGAACATGCTTTAATTAAAATGGCCTTCATAACTGCAAGCTCTGGTTCCTGCTTCCGGCTTGGTAACCAAAATAACCTACAACTTCTGTTTTACGATGCACTGCACTGTTGACAAATTAGTCAGAAATGCCTTCCTGTAAAGAGACTAACTGGTTCTTAATGGCCCTTTGATGTTTATTAACAAGCTAGTGACCCATTCATAGCTCAAAATTATTAATTAAAATCACGGGAATGACAACAAATGGACATGATTAAATCCCTACGCATGATTTCTAATTTGTATTGTATTATAATGTACGGTATTGGACTTTAGGAAATCGATCGCAGGGCTACTCTGCAGTTATGAATTAGTGTGACTAGCTTCCGTTTTTTGAGTATTCCACGATCACGTTTTTTGGCTAAACACACAAGTCGAAATCTTTGAATGCGATGTCACCTTTGCAAAAGCCGTCTTTATGTGGTGGTTATATGGTAGTCCTCTCTTACGATTTCCTCAAATGCACACACTTCAATGAATGTCTTTTGTAGTGCAAAATGCACACTAACAGTTACAGCCCACTACCAGTAGTTCCGTAAAATGGGTAAAAATAATTAAATACCATTACCATATTAACAGTCTGCATTTAGAAATACCAACGTCCACAATATGTCGCAACGGGTCCTGGATATTAAGCCGAATTGTCGAATTTTTACATTTACACATCTTTCTCTGGGAACCGAATCAAATTATCTTAACAAGGACCAGTTAATTTATGTAATTTTGATCAAGTTAACTTTTTTCACTAAAGAGACATTCAAAGTAAATCTGCGCTGCAGTAAACTAATCAAGTAAACGTGCTCTCACGATACGACGATTGCGTGAGAATGAAATTTTTTCATGCGATTATTTGATTAAAGCTTTTTCAAAATTTGTTCTTGCAAAGAAGCTGAAAAATGTAGCTGGAATGAGTGTCAAAATAGATCGCTGCCACGTGGCAGACACTCAGGTTCACGTCTGCACTCACCCCCCCCTCCCCCCCAACAAAAAAAGCCATGTCTAAACAATGTTCAGTTATTTATTCCCTTGAATTCTATTGCTGTTTACGAATCCCGGCTCTTCGAAAGGCCTTTTTGATAAATTCAGATAAACTAACAGAAAGAAAGTTAATTACCACCCATAATCTCCAAACAGTAGATTTAATAAATAACCTAGCTATTTAAGCAACATTTATAAGCACAAATTGTACCCTCTCATTCAGAATTAATGGCAAAAGGCAAGATGTCATTAAACACAGAAGAAGTTTCAGACATCGATGGAGAAGGGTCAAGACAGTGATTTGCATCAATTATTATTAGCTCTTGTTTCGCAGAGCACTATCATTTGGCACATTTCAGTTCTTTAGATCTTATCGCAAAATGTTTTTTTTAATCAAGAGAACGGGTAAACAATTTGGCAGGAATAACTGAACCTGTCCAATAATTTGTTCAGGGAAAAAACCAAAAGGGAGCTAAAACCTCCAGGCACCATTATCTTTAGGCCTCACCAGTCTTCTAAAATGAGGCACCCTAGCGTTTCATTTTAACTGGCAAGTACCAGTTGAACATATGGCCACCGATAAATGACACAGGATAGCTAGCTAGTTTTCTCAAATCAAAGAAGGTTAAATAAAAGGAAAGGTCTCTTTGTTGACATAAATTTAAAAAAACACTCAGGCACAAGTGACTGATTAAAATCACATTTCACCTTATTTTAACACAAATGTTTAAAATAGATTTCAAATACATCTACTGTGGTTTTGAAGAGCTTCAATGATGAACTTGTCTGATCAGAAAACCTGGAAAAAAGTTAGACGTAATTCATTCTGAGATGAAGAAATTTGCCGCAGGCATTTAATTGACTATGAGACTTCTCGTGTTGAAAGACCACGACTACATCAATGTTGGCATTGTCTCTTTGGGGATTTGACTTAGAGTTGAACCAATAAAGTGAAATTTACCACGCACCCTAAGCACTTGAGGTAGCCAGTAGGAAATGGTAGATATAAGGCAAAATTAAGGAAAACTCAGACAGTAAAACAACTGTGGACTTAGAGGCACAAGAGGTTAAAGGTGGGTTCGAGGTCACGAAACGAAGTGCTAAAGAGCGCATAACATTATACGCGTCCTTTAATGTCTAGGTGCTATTTAAACCGCACTTGCTTCAAACTGATTGCGGTACATTACTGACTGGTATGAAAGGTAACCCAGGTTCATACACAAGCTTGTCAGGACTCTTCTGCACACACAAAATAAACATGCACAATAAGAACTGCAAACATCACGTGCAAATTAGAAGCTCATATATGCTTAAAACATGTACGCATTGTATAGTGTGAGAAAAAAAAACTATTTTTTCATAAAGCATATACGCTCAGAGTATGGTAGATTTTAGCAACTCAGTCTATAGTAATAGTTTTTGTTTGAGAGTATTTGATTCAAGGAAATTTGATTTCTTTTACAATACTGCACCAGCCTCAACTAACTTTAAAAAATATGCTTTACTTACCGTCAATGCAAATAAACACATCTTGCCCTCTTATGACCCGACGTGATTCGATCCCAGGGTTGCTTGAATTTGCATGGTTCCCCAAATTACAAACAAAACGGAGTTAACATGCGTGTTTGATAAATCCACATATGAGCTCATCAGTGACGTCAACACAATCACAGGCCTGTTTTGTGCATTCCATCAGAATAAAGAGTGTGGAAAATGATTGTCCGTCACTTTTGGTAGGACACAATGCTGATGACAGCAACGCATCGAAAAAGTCAAATTGAATAAGACTAACTTACTGCACGTTGCGGGGTCCTTAACGTTTCTTGTTCTGACTGGAATGACCTTCTCAAGGGCACTTGTGTAACAAAGGGATGGCATTGCTTCCAAGTAGGCATCCATATCCATGTAACGGAGGCTTTTGAACCCAAGAAACTCCACGTGGGCCGCGTTGTAAATCGACAGAGGAATACCCAAAGAAACGCCGCCAGAAACTAAAACCGTTGTGTAGATATTTTTTGAGAACACATTCACATTTTGGAGCAATTGCCAAAAATGATAGAATGAGCAAATATTTATTAGTGAACAAAACGCCGTAAGTCCCGTATTTCTTATAATATGAAGGCACATATATTTAAGTAGCGGCTCTGTCTGAAGTCTTCATTTGTCTTAATTGGTCCTTGTATAGCCACGGATACATAATAGTTCGGAAAACGTGGTGGTGCAAGCCCTGCAACGCTAGAGCAAACAAGGAAAGGAAGTTGACTTGGACGGAAGCATTAAAAGGAACACACACGCCATAATGCGGTATCGACATAAAAATTAGGATGATTGACTCTTAAACTAGCTCTTTTTTAATTGACTAATAAGTATAATGTTTGGCCATGGTGCACACAAGATCCTTTCGAAATCGGTTAAGTGGCTAAAAGAGTTTAACACGTAAACAACTAAGATGATTATCAAGCCACGATGTCTACTCCATAATTTTTCGGAATTTTAAATTCACCGAAAAATTATGGAGTGAGGGTAAATCCATCGGCACACGATGGTTGCAATTACTCAATTTACCTAACGAACAACATTTTAGGGGAAACAATGACCCTCTACGGGTGTCGTCCACAAAAAGCATTTCGAAATAGGAACATGTTAATACGTAAGTAGTGCATATGAGAATTTAGTAATCCACCTGCCTCGTTTTGCACTGACAGGTTTAATAATATGGCTTGTATGACAGAAATCACAGTCTGCTTTTCACTAGGGGATTCCCGTTTCTTAGTTTTTAAACACAATGTTCAAACCCATATATCAAAAATATGCAAGCAGAAAATGATTACGTAATGTGTCGAGCTTAGTAAAGTTGCATATGGAAAGAGAATTTTAGATGTACCGAAACAGTGTGAAGTTTAATAGTTTGGAAATTGAGAAGAATTCGTTTAAAAAAGAAACTCTCTTTAAGTATATTTTGTGTTACAAATAAGCAAATTAAGAAATTGGATTCTATGACGAATAAATGAGGCAATTAGAGGCATCATTAAGGATTTAAAATTAAGTTGCATTCCAGAAACAATCTCTGTGCATGTTTTAATCACGACCACACACGTATATGCTAGCTTTCGGCAATATCATTAAGTGACTTCCTGCTACAGCTTTGGCTGTAACGTTTATATTCTCGAATTCTATATTTAGGTAGCATTAAAATTTTATTATATATTCGAAATTCTGTCAAAGTAGAGACTTGATTTCTGAAAAAGCATATTAATTGCCACCTAATTTTAGTGACCAAAACAGAATAAATCACTTAGAACTGGCACATTGCGTGACATTATCACTTAGAAGCACACAGAATTTGGGAAATAGATTCCTTAATTCGAAGCAATAAAAACATGGCTAACTCACATTCTGCAGTTACTTTATAGAGGTTTTCCAAGAACGTCAGATTTCTCAAATTTTTTGGAGCGTTGACGAAATCAAGATAAATAAAGCCTACGATTTCCTTCAAATTTCGTAGGTTCCACAAGTCATCAACGTTTAATAGCGGCCCCTTAGGTGTCATTCTACAAGAAAACAATATGTTAAACTAAAAATGCTGACAGTTATTAGTCTTGAGATTGCTAGAAAACCAAATCTAGAAGTTAAATGAATTTAGATTTTTTGCAAAAACAAAGAACTGTGGAACTGTACAACAGTCGCAGAAGTCGAGGTAGTCGATAAAACAGCTACAGACAAATATTCAGAATTATTTAATTGAGCCGAATATGATGTTCCTGTTTATATAAGCTGTTAAAAAATTACAACAAAATGATAAAGCCTGGTTCGGCAAATTCAAACATTTCATAATTATTTCAATATCTTCCTCTTGGAAAAGTTTCACCTTTTTAATAAAAAAACCTCTGCAATTATTCCATGCCTTACTAGGAAACGAATGCATGTTGCCTCAATTTAAACTTTGCAGCATTGACCCAAAATATGCTTTCGAAATCAAAAATAACACCGATTTTTAAAGCAGTTAAATTGAAGTATAAGCACCAGACAAAATTAGCACGGTGATCAGTTTATAAATAAAAACGAACCCAAAAAGAGTTCAAGAGATACTTAGTGTTATCAACTGCACGAACATCTTTTAATAATCGAAGAAAGGCATTTATACTGATGTATGAGAAACTTCCCGATGAAGACAAAAAGTGATTTGAAAATGTTTTTTAAAACATATTTTACGTTAAGCCAACTTTAACGACTTGACAATCACAGGCCATTGCCCAACCCAAGACTTAATAAACAAAGATTAAGACAATCTTTTAGTTAACAGACTAACTGTGATTGGAGACCATTTTACGATAATGGAACCCACTTTAACAATGGGAGACTATTAAACATGTTGCAAAGACTACAGTGAATCCTAACTAACTGATTTTTTATTGTCGTAAAGCGGGCTTAACGCTGAAGAAAAGCAGTGTCAGTTTGATTTTTGTGCAGAGTGCACATGCATCCCTTTATGTGGCATTAACAGGCACTGGGCCTGATTTCGAACACGTGGCATGGGAAAACGGGAAAAGAAAATATATTTTTTCTCTATTGGCATTCAACGGCAAATCTGTAATTAATAAATGATCAAATTCATACTTTGAGAAACTCGTTGTTTTTTTTAAAAGTGCGTGTCAAACTGAAACAACTCAAACTAATGGCAATTAATGCTTTGTTTTAACAAGTTAATTAGGACAAATCTTGTTGACAACCAATGTGTTTTAAGAACATCTACAATCGGTCAAATCCAATTAACTCCTGCCACTAATCTGGTCAATGTTTATTCATTACCGAAGAAAAGTAGGGTGAAGGCGTCTGCACCTTGACATCTGCGCAGATGTCCACCACAATACAGGTAAACTAGTGTAATTTTCCCTTTTTCGCCGGATTACATTATAATAATAGAATGAAAACCTAAATGTACCCGAAAGCAATGGACTGCTTAGCAGAAAATAATCACTTTCGGAATGTAACCTCTAAAAAATTATGGTCCTGATGTGATGGCGTCCAGTAACTCAATTCTATCGCTGATATCAGGCTAATACCTCATCCTGTTTTCTTAATCTGAGCACCTATGATCCATTGTTACACAAATTTTGACGACAGCCGGTAATAGAAAAATACGCACTAATTGTCTACACTCTTAAAGTGCCGTGTTACATAAATAAGGGTAAAACAGTATGGTCACGCCCCACAAAAACAGCTTTGGATGGATTCATCACACCATTATCACGTAGAAGGGGCATTTGGGTGCGTGGAAGAATTTTGGCGCCAGAGCCATTTACGGTAATTAATGTCCTGCCATAATTTACTCTTAAATTACACACATGTGGCACAAACCTAATATAGCAGTTTGTAAACTAAAACGATAATCGTTTCAAAAAAAATTATTTGTCGAAAAAGAGCAACTCAGCATTTTGATGGAAGGTTCAATCCAATTTCTTAAGGGTTATTTAAGTTAAACATTTACAGACATGCCCTTGAAGTGTCTGCTTAGTCTGCTAATATGGTGATTACTGATGCCGTGGCTGCTGGCTAAGAGTTTCCAAGACGTCTTCACTCAATCTGAAAATAGACGTTCGCGCATACCAAAATGCTTTCACTAAAGACAAATCTTTCCATTTATTAACGTAGGCAAATGGACAAGTCTTAATTTGTGTCATTCTGTTAACACCGACTCATGCATTATTTTTGACAAGCTAAAACTAATATGGTTTATCGTGTTATTTTTCCTATGCGTGCAATTACGGAAGTATGTTCAAAAAGTAAAGGAACTTGTAAATTTGAAAATTGATATGTAGCATTCGATCGCGTCTTACAGATAATTTACATAAACTCTTCTTTACTTTTCGTTTTGCTTGCTTCGACCTGCTTAGAAAACGTTGCTGCTTTGTAATCCAGCCACTTCCTGTGGATGAGCTGAACTCAATGCATCTGATGGTACTAGGCAACTCCTTGAATTAATAAAAGCTCCAGTACTTGTTCTCGATGATCCAAAACAATTAACTAACTTATGGATTGTAAGAATATTCAGCTTCTAATTACTAAACTTCTTCATTGGTCTATACATAATATTTTAACCAAATGTTACCTTTTGTCCAAAGGTTAAGTGTTTTTAATTTCTGCACCGATGCATCAGAAACCGATAAAAAAAACCCGAGAGTGTATCTCACCAAAATGACACAACAGTTTCCAGTCATCAAAACATGAAGGTCCGAACCAATTTACATATATATGTTTCACAATAAGAAGGCCTTTACAATGTAGCCAAACATTTATGATAAGCAGTTTGTAATATCACCGTCTCCATTCTGCTAATCACCAAAAACAAATCTCAGTGACTTGAAAAGGTAGATGTACCCATTTATAATACCACTTCACATGAATTTAGTACCTTTCAACGTTTTATTCATTTGAAGATGTAAAAATTTGTCACTCCAAAAAAGTGTTTACAAACTTGATCAACATTTATCTTAACTAGGCACGTGCGAAGTTTTTACTTGACATTTCATGAAATGTCTAATGCCACTGCACAAAGTGGCCAAAAATTGCTTTCCGATGTCTTATTTCCAGTAGGTAGCTATCGAGATTAAGCGGCATGAGTAGTATTTCCCTAACGTTCTATAAATGTGAAAACAACAGTTGGAAACTTGCTTGAAAGACTGGCTATTAATGTAGATAGGGCCTGAATAGTAGACACACGATTTCATTTTTATCGCAGCCTCAGAAGTCATTAGAGGAAACTTTGAACCGAAGATGTTTTCTTTTGTGCAGTCTAAAAAACCGAGAGATTACCATTTCAACAAGCAACAAGAGTGTTAATGGTGTAGGTCTAACCGGATCACATTGATTGCAATTCAAATCAATAAAAGGTTTACTCTCTATTAGGAAATCTGCGCTAAATATTTTTAGGACTATAAAACATTTTTATAGAGCACAAGTGGGATAGCGTATATCAAAATCATGCAAAAAATGATGCGGTGACCTTATTTAGCCAAACCATTTATTTACCATTGCACTTAATTTGCGTTTATGTAAAGTAAGGAATTTTCATTTGTTAGGTTCGCGATAATTGGAAAAGTTGGTTGACTAAAATTGTGGGCTTAATCTGTTTCATACTTTAAAGACAGACTCCTCTAGTATGTGAAGGTGAAATCCTATTAGCGCTTTACGTAAACCAGAGAATAAGATTAAATTGGAAGCAAAGGGTTCAATTACTGTCTATTTACGAAGTCGGATAAGGAAACGGATAAGGTTGCTCATTTGCCCAACAATGTACTATGCTTAGGGTAAAAATAATTAACAGGTATCCTCTTTTATTTTAGTCCTACATTTGTCTGACTATGACCTACAAATGCAACCAATTAGTAATAATGTTTAGTGATTAAGAAGAGCATTTCCCTTTGATTACTTATGCCAAACGTAAATCCTGAATTACATCTTGTAAATCATGTTGAAGATATATAAATATGGCGTTGTGCAGCGTTATCCTACATGGCATAAAAATCAATTTACAGCGTGCTTAAAAAATTGCTCCAGTTTGTGCAAGTAGCTGTGGCTTCACTTTGTAGTGGAACCACAGATAAGTTGGGATTGTGATTTGATAAGTCTACGTATTAACAAATGCAGTTCAAACCAGGGCTGCGGCCACGTTAAATTAATGAAGCCTAATTAAGTGGGATGCTTCACCCTTACTCCAGTAAGGAAGAGTTGAAGCCTAATTTAAAGTCCTGTCTCATTAATCATGACCACAGTTTAGCAACATGTGTCAACCCCATCCTACTGAGATAAAGATAGTATTTATATTAATGCATTTGCGCATTTGAAGCAATACAAAACAAATTGCGAATGATGTGTTGACATAATATTAAAATGGCAAAATATATGACAACTGTTAATTAAAGTTAAACATGGCATTTTAGTTTTCAACATGTCCTTGTAGCGAATTTCACTGCGGCTAACCTCAGATGTTATCCGTCTCCAAGACCAGTTAAAATGGAGACATGAGGATTGTTCTAACCTACTCTCAAGAACCTGAGAAAACTTTATACACAATGTTCACATGTTTGGTGATTGTCCCACTGCTAAAGCTTACCGGTCGAATGGGAAATGGACGTTTTAACAACAATGATTGACATACTTACGTTTGGCGCACGGAGATGGTGTGCAAGGCACGCAACTGCCATTCGATGGGATTGTTGTTTTAAAATCGCACTCAATCACGCAAACAGTGTCCATTTTGAGAAAGGGTTCTACAATACGGAGCTACATTTAAGCAAAATCTTCACTCGTAATGCAGATATTGGCCGCTTTGGTTTAGGACTTAAAACACCAACTCAGAATTAGCAAGCGATGATTCAAATTCTGTCGGCAAATTCGGATTCTCTGACTTAGTTTTTTATGTCAATATCCCGGAATGTGTTTGCAAACATTTGTATCCATCTAGCATATAAATAAATGTAAACATTTCTTAATTGCTTAAAGTTAAGAAGCAAGAAGAGGAACGAGATGAGATCACTATGCTCAAAACTGCTACGAACGTGACATCCACAAGCACTTTGATGTTTTCATAGACAGTGGAGTGACTAATGATTTCACCAGCCTTAAATGTTAACATACTTTTACAACTTTAAATAGATTTAAATGCTGTTTAAAAAATCATAATGAAAATGCTTTATTTTTTAGATGTATCAAGCCAAACTAAAATTTATTGCAAGTTCGCGTACTCTCCCCACTTCGCGGTCACTATTTACAAGAACTTTTGTGTAAACATTTTTGACAATAATCTGCACAATGTGTACATAGATGGCAAGCGGCTAACATCATAGAATTTAAACGCGTTACAATATAAAAACCGTTCCCTAGTCACAATTGCGAAATAAGACACATGTAAATAACAACAACGCCAAATACCACAATAAAGTGCTGCTACGTCCTTTTCTGTCATGGTCTATCAAAATTAATAAAAGTAACAAGCTCGCGCAACACAATGTCAGGTTGGCACCATGGGTTAAGCGAGAATTAATGAAAAATGCAATTGGCTATGCCAAAAGTTATGGCTTCAATAATAATTCATGCATTTTGAATTTCCCTAGCTAGTATCAAAGTCGGTGTCTGATAAATATGTAAATATCAGACCTTAGTTAAATTTAAGATTATGTACGATTAAATGCTTGGCTCCACATACCAAATTTCATCCCAACAGGATCACTCTAATTAAAGGCGGCAAGTTGAAAATGAAAGTAAGTATCCTTCAATGTATTTCAGCTCTCAAGAATGTACGATTTATGATATTTCCGTGTTAATATAGCCTCACAATGAATTTTTATATGAAAAAAAGTTTTATTCAACAGTCCAGTCATATCTAGAACCGATTCAACAAACCAAAGCATATTTTTGTTTGCTGATGTTGTCTATTCTTTTATCTTGGATTTTTAGGAAGTCGGTTTTGATAAGTTGACGACTCTTTGGACAAAAGATGCCTTATTGTAAGGAACTTCGACACTATTAACAGATTATGCCTTAACCAAAAGACTGAAAACTTCAATGGACCTGCCGACTAATGTGGGGGGAAAATGGTGTCATTAAAGAAGCATACTTATAGCCAGGATGCTGAAGAGCATTTTGCTACTGCACATTTTTGGGAAAAAATGTCGACTGGCGATAGACAAAAACGCTTTTAGAATAACATAGCCGTACTAAATACGACTATACCATATTGCAAGAAAGGTTGGGCAGTTTTTTATGATTCAGTTTAAAAGAATGAAGTGGTTTAGCTCGATGATCTCGTGCAAACTGTTATAGTAATCCATAAAAATACCCAAGGATTTAGCAGTTAGTTGCGTCTAAGACCCTTAAACAGATTACATTTCAAACTTGGTTTGTTTTTGACGTGAAATACGTGAAAATTACCATGTAAAATTAATGAAATTTCAGTTCAAATTGTGCATTTAAATCCGTTTTTTGAAAAAAAGTACATCTTTTATGCAAGTCCAAGCTCATGTGAGCTTGTGCACATCTGTTGTTCTAACTTTATCAAAAGTAACCACCGCATACCTGCATTCCGAAAAAAATAGGATCACAACCAAGTTGCTACATATCTTAACGTTCTAGTTGAACAGGTATTTTTTTCGTAAAAAGAAATTAATTCAAGGAGAGGCAGAGGAAGCTAAATACAACAGTGAAACATAAATCACAATGTAAACCATTTTACTGCTGTTTAAAACTCCATGTGACGGCTCAGAGTGAAAAATATTCAATTTCAAAGACTAAAATTTAAAAAAATATTATATAGTCATGGATAAATATACAATTTGGTGTTGTTGCTGATCCTATACACATCACGGAAAATTTGACATCTGCTAATTTAACCTGCTTTTTTCAAAGTCAGCGCTTAAATCCATTCACAGGAAGACCAAGTAATATATTTGATCTATTCACAAATCGCCCGATTTTTTCTCACTTAATTACATCACTAACAACAGTACTTTTGACTAACATATTTTTAGCCAAATTTTTCAGCTTAGTATAATTCAGACATGATCAACTAAGTTGGAATAATATTGGTCAAATAGTAGAAGATTGTATGATAATTTGTAAGCAGGCAGATTGAGATCCACAAACGATCAATCTGCATTTACATTGCTGTATTGTTGTTATGGGTATTCTGGTCATGTTTATTTCACAGACAAATTTAGCGTCTGCGCAGCAAGTCTAGACATCTGTTTAAGACTTTGGTTTTTTTTAAGTTTAGAAAGGACCAATACTATTCTGTTCGTTTCTAAGTTTCCAGTTCGTACAAACAGCTCAAGATACAGTCAATTTTTCTGTTCCCCAAAAAGGAAGTCATTGCAATTTTCACAGACTGTCATGTTTTGCTGCGAGGTCTTTTTCTGACCAAAAGTTTTTATAGATAAATTGAGCTGGCTCGGTAGTTGAATAATCAAAGGGTTCAACGGGCTATCAGTGAAACCATATGCCACACAAAAGAATCTAGCAAGTTGTACATGGTCCAGATTAGTTGTCCGGCTAACTCAAAGCGTTAGCGCAAGATGCACGGAGTGGCCGTAGTTTCGTGTGATAACTGTAATGATTATGGCCTACCGGGAGTTGCACATGTTTTAGTAAAAATAACTTGTTGTAGACGATTTTAGTAATCACCTTCATGGGTGTGCTCTGTTACCACATTTACGACCAAAAGGCTATTGCAAGAATGTTGCTATTAATTGACACACCTTGTATAAGCCATCGCAAATGAGCACTTTTAAAAATTAAAAAAAAAGTGCAATGTGTGTGTTTCTCAAGAATGTTTTTTTTTTCAAATTTATGTACCAAAGCGTTTTACACCCAAAAAAGGATTCCACTTATTAGCATCACAATCAAGTGCATGTATTTTGTGCTTTGCCCGAGGCTCTGGGAACAAATTTGGAAGACGAAAGTTCATACCTTTGAAGCTACATTCGAATACATCTCCGAAACTCATGATGTATAACCAAAATGTGTGTTCAGGCACGAAAAAGTAACATCACATTTATTGATCACATAAGACCAGAGATTTTACTACCAGATGTACGCTTGCATAATCCAGTATGAATATACTTGATCTTGCTCTAGTTTTAGCAGACTGGAAAAAGTCCAAAGCCTTGCAAAAGAAACAGAAAAAAATTAGGGACTTGGTGTTTTCATAAGACAAAGCTGTAGCTGCAAAAATAAGTATGATAGTACATCAACTCAAAAGCAATAATCGATATAAAGACGCCAAATTTAGACACATTTTTGGAAGAACTCAAGTGATACGTATGTTATTTCAGGAGAAATGGGACCTACCTGGACAATTCTTCACGCAGATATCGTGAAGTTCATATTTAAAATCAGGATTGGGTTCTTGGCGGCTTGTGAAAGGGCTCACAAGGTGCTTCTGTGGGCAGGAGCTTGCACAAGTGTCACCGTTCCGCTTAGACCGACAGGCCTGCAGTTAAATTAGAGAAAAAAAACTGAACATATTAGTCTAGAAGACAAAATTTCTGGCGAACTTGTGCTTTGGATTTCTAGCATTCGTTTAGTGTTGAATTTTTAAGGGTAATTAAAATACTTATCTTTCTTTCTCGATCAAAGAAGTCTCTTTAAGGCTAAAGTAATGACAACTTTAAATACAACACCCCCTCAACCAAGTTGTTTCGATAAAACGCCTAATCACTTAAATTTAAAGTGCCCAGAAAGCAGTTTTAATGAAATTGTGCTGGACAGGATGAGTAGGACAGAAAGTGTGGAGCAAATCGGGAGCACTGGAAGCCTATGTCTAGCTTAGACTTTTTTGTCTGGGCATGCATTACCACGATAAAAATTGGCATTATATAAAGTGCAGGACAATTTGGCTTTATCTCAGCTTTTTTGACCATTCATATTGCAGTTTCACCATTAATCTTTTATCACTCAATAAGAAATACGTGGGACTTCTGTGTGAACCAATTCTCATGTCAGTTGCAGCCACTGAATTTAGTCAACCTTGCGTCTGTGAAAATTTTTACATGTCAGCTAATTTTGTATTTTCCTAATTTCATGCCAGGTAAGTCCAACTTGATGCGATGACTACTGAATGAGGAAACAAATTGTGGATTTTAGTGTTAGAGCTCGTCTATCTTCCCTAATTAAGAAAGCTAAGGATTATTAATTTGTCTACCAGCCCGTTCTGTAGGCTATGCACAATCACAGCATTTGAGAGACTCGCATCAAGGTTCTGTGGTCTGCATAAACACTTTCATTTGAGACTCGAAAATTTGATTGGTCAAGCATCATTGCTGTAAAGTTAAGACTTTCAACACCGACAAATTTTGCGCAAACTGCAAGCTCCTAATTACCAAATAAAAAAATATATTCTGGTTACAATATAGGTTATAGCTTTATCCCGTATTGCGCACAAAACTGTCAAAATAATTCTGCATGTTGATTAGGGTATCATAAGTTTGTTAGTTTACTTCATGAGGTACTAGATACCTTCGAATCTTACTCAATACCTCTGATAAAGCTTTTTGGAAGAAGAGGAGAAATAAAAAAAAACACTACAACTTATTTTACCCCTCCATCATTCTCCACATTGCAAACAAAATTCTGCACCCTCTGTTAAGTTACTAACCCCTTTCTCCATTTCAGCTTTTTGCCGTAATTTCGTGCTTAGTGTCGTGGGCACTTTCCGGTTTCGTTCAACTTGCTCGTGTGCCAGGAACATGGACATTAGTCCTACTGGTTCTGCCCCCACACATTTCAGTTACCGAGCTCTCGGAAAGATTCGGCTAAAAGTCACCCCACGCATTCTGCCTCCATTCTGCAAAACACACAAGGCAGATTGTTTACATACAGTGCGATGTGAATTTCTGCGGTTTGCATCAGTTTGCACAAAAAGCTCCAAAATACCTCAAACTGACTTGACCCATGCTTTCGGTAAATGCACCACTCAACTCTCAAAAAGAATTGGGTTTTACCACCTTTTAAGTAGATTCAAAAGCGGAAGCAGACAAATGGACAAAGTAAATACTTATGATTGAAGCCTTGGCTCGGACAGTTACTAGAGGCGAGTAATTTTGATTACACCATTGTGCGGCTAGACAATACACAGTTCCAATTTTTTTCTTAGTTGCCCTTTCCGATAGTGACACAAAAGGTGATTACGTGAAATTTTTTTAGCTCAATCGACGCTGTGAAGCAAGCAGCATATTTTAGGAAGTAGAGCCTGTAAATAAAGCTTTCACATTAAATATTCGTTGGATGATGCAGAATTATTGGGTGGGAAAGGTGACATAAAAAACCTTTGTAAATTAACAACAATGCCGACTTTTTTGAGTTTAGCCGACACAAAGGCATGGGTATATATAAATGAAGTCTAAGCATCCCAAAAACCGGATTCAGCAATAATTAGTTGTCACTAAAATACCGAAATCCCAATAAAGCATTTATTCGTCGAGTATCTTTAATAAGCAGCGTTTTATTTACCAAGGTAAAAACAAATCGTTGTTAGCCTGATGAAAAACGAATCATCATCCTCATGAACCACACTTTGTACTTCTATGGAATTTATATTTTAACAGACTGAACTCAAAGCAAGGAACTTTGAGTTTTTGACAGTGAAGCTTTATCCTCACACGAAGAAACCAGTTACTTTGACGACGATCGAGGATGTGGGATTGGGTTTTTTGACATCTAGCGTCAAATTACAGTGCCATCGATGTATTCATGCAGTCGCCGAATATAACTAAAGAGATTTATATAAAATATCTTTATTTAAATGTAAATACCAAGTTCCAGAGAGCTAATGTTTGACAGGATTGGGAACGGTATGCAGTCAACAAGGTGTGCAAGTATTTTGATCGAGACTGAAAAAGATTTACCGACACAAAAGGTTAACGAATAACACATCAGAGATATCCGACGCAGGTGACTGCTGAATACGTGCTGACTTGGTTGGAATGTCCTGTTTTCAGAATTATTTCGACTTGTTTCAGGGCCAAAGATGATTCCACCACCAGGGCTAATTAATTACACGATTAACTTTTGTTTTTGCTTCTGACAAAATTTGAAGGAAAATAACCTATTGACGAGTTTTATCACCAAAGGATTTTGCCCCCAAATTAAAAAAAACGACATAAAAGCACACGTAAATCTTGGTGCTTTGAAAGTCTGCTGATTGTCATACCAAAAATACGTTGTTGGTACGACTCATAAATATCAGACACCTTATTTGACAATTCTGAGAGCTATTTTTATCAAAAAAACACACATAATCAAATCAAGCACAACAATCAGGTTTGACGGGGCGCACATTTCGGACAATTTTTAAAAACGTGATATACCCTATGTTGATTTTAAAATACACTAACAAAATAAAAGTAGAACTAAGAAATTGACATTTAAAAATCCCTTATTGCATGTCAGAAAATCAAAGTGTGAGGCGACCAAAAACCTTTTTGGCAAACAAGCCACCCAAGGTGTTCCGGACATAAACTTAGATCTACCCCGGTAATTAAAATTAATTCGTTCTAACAGAAGATGTTTTTTTTAAATAATACGACGCTTTTATGCAGTTTTGTGTATTTATGAAGAAAGAAAACCCATACGAATATTCAATGATTTGATTTATGAATTATTGACTCAATTTCTCATTTAAAATGACCACTGCAAGCTAGTTGATATGTCTACGCCTAATAAAGTTCAGGTATGATAGAACACTTAGGCCCACATTTAAGAACTCAGAAAAGGCACTTGGATTACTTTTTCAAGCTTCGTTGACCTTCGACCCACAACTTCAAATCAGGTAACTATTTTGTGGTTAGGAATATCCATTGTAGGTCAATTCAAAGTTTCACTAACTCCTAACGCTGCTCTCAGCACAAATTTAATCAATTTTCAGAGGATTATCAGTAAATTTCACAGCAGTTGTTTTGATATCAAGCATTTTACATAGCTTTTAACAAATGATTAGGTTATAAGAACGACGTACGTGGAAGAGAAAATGAAACCAAAGATTCGCAAAACCAGTGAGCAACATTTCCTGCATCAGGACGAGTTATGTATACGCCTGCCTTTTAAATAGCGTTGCAGAGAAAACCATGGAGACAAGTTTCTTTAAAAACCCTTTAATTCTGAGCATATATTAAAATGGATTTCATTTCAAAATAAGCACCCAGTGCCCAAAAATGCCATTAGTTCGTGGTTTTAAAGTACAGTGGAATGTGATTCGATCGGTAGGTAAAACATATATTTTAGAATTCTTTCAAAACATGGCCCTCTGAATAATACGAATATGTTTAACTAACCAGGTCTTGGAGAGCAACGCATTACTGAATGAACGCCTAAAATATGTCTGGAAGTATTCAGTTAATATTTAGTTGCACAGTTGTAACATGGCTAATTACTTGAAGGTTATATGTCCTAATCACATTCACATCTTTAAGTGAATCAACGAATACACATTTCCAAGCTAACACTGAAGAGGTCCACGATAACATGAAGACGGCAAAATGCCCTAGCGAGAAATCTCATCTAGGGTATCAGGCGCACACATTAAACTGAATGAAACATCTACGGTCTATTCATAATAAAATTAGCCTCCTTAATATTTTGCTATCCTCTTGTGGTGCAATAACACTTTTTAAGCAATCATTAATTTTTCTGAAACATTAGCTCACCAATTGAACCCTTTGGTCTGACTGTGTTGGATACACATTTTTAGTTGATACAACGCAACAAATCATAGTATACCCTTACGAATTAAGATAATTTTGATCAGTTATATGCAAATCAGATCCGATTCACAGGCAAACACATTCCTTCTACACACCACAACATCGAGGGCTTTAATTTATAAAAAAAATTAGTTTAGAGATATTAAACTTAATTACTGGTAATGATTCCCGTCAGAGTCCTTCATTATCATCATTAACATCACCACCATAGTCTCACAGAGAAAGTGCCGTGTTAATTTGTTCTGAAGCAGAAGCAGCTGCGCTGTCAGTCAATTGACCAAACTTTTCGTGGCTTAATTGCAGCAGTGAAGTGAGCCGATTCGTGCTAATGCGAAATCGGTCATCTGCTCCCGGGCACCCAAGTTCGGTCACTTGATGGTAGCCTGGGACATCAAATAGAACCTGAATGCATTCTCCATAAAACTGAATTTTAATCGCAATTTTCCCCACTGGAGTAGAACTGCCACATCGAGTCAAAATATCTTTCTGTGAAGTCTTATATCTAAGCTAAAAATTTCTCCTGGAATATTTTTTGACGCAATAAATCAAACAGCAGCCGATTTTTGGTCTGCTCAGAAATTTAACAACGCCTCATTTGTCTTAAAATGCCTTCTTATATTTTAGTTGAAGTGTAAAATTCTCAAAGATAATTCAAATCCATATTTAATGCAGTGTTGTAAATAAATGTTTGACACTGTCTTCTGTGTTTTGTGACATATCAAGGTAGGAAAACGTGAAAAAAATTAATAAAAGGTAAAGAAAACCATTTGCGTACCGAAGGCATTAAAAAATAACAGTCCCAGTATCCATGTATACGATTCACAACAAATACTTTAGTCGCATTAACGCAAAATCCTAAATTTAAAACCATTAAATTAATGACATTCAAGCCAAAGTAAAGTAAATAATTTTTTTGACAAAAAATTAATGCATCTTTATGATGGTAAGGCACCATATTTGGCAAAAGAAATTTCTTGTTATTTTGCGGCTGTGGTGAGGGATAAGTCATTTCGTTGCTGACTTCACACAAACAGATGTAAGTACACATTGAAAGAGCAACGTGCACGAATCATGGAGGTCTATGGAGGAGAATTAACGCTGAATAATCATCCACAACAGTTTTGAGATAACTAAAGCTAAAAATTGTCATTTAACGTTTTGTTGAAGCGTACAAAGAGGTTATAGAGACATTATTCAGTCCCCATTATTTAGCTTGTAATTAGAACACTTTTAACAAAAGCTACTGGACATTTCTGCACCTCTAAAGTCCCATTAACGGCTTTAGGGTAACGGTTGACTGTGCGTTACACGTTTGTTTAACCACTGGCTTGTTTTTAAAGACTTTTAACTGGATGAGCGCAAACTGACAACATGCATAACTACGTCAAAACAAACCAAATTTACGTGGCTGAACAGGGCCCTTAAAATCACGTTTGTATATGCTAATCAAATTACGACTATCCACTGTTTGACTTACATTTTATGACATTCTTTCGCTGAGTACAGCTAGACATGCTCTGAAGTGGTTAATGATTTAGTTACCTAAGGTGTCTTAAGAGAAAAAAACGGCTGGATTGCTGGCTACGATAAATTTATCATTGGTTATTATGTTAACATTTAAGTCTCAGTTAATTTCGTGAGAGAATCCAGTCAGTTGTAATGTGGTCGTTTTAAAATCCCTAGGAGGCGTTTGGTAAAAAACTTTGTGCAGCACACCAGAAATCATAAATGCAGAAAATTTTTGAAAGTCCGAAGCTATAATATTCCAACATCGATGAGCTAAACCCAAAGGAACTAGATCCACAAAACATTTGCATCGTGGCCTGAGGAAATGGACACGTTTTCACAAAACTATAAAGGTAATTGGGAAGCGATCAGTTACATAAAAAGAGCGGAATATATAAACGCTAGTGTTGTGAAACTTGCCTGAAATTAGGACCGAAAGAGTAGTATGAAAAAGAACGTACCCAACAATTCGATGTATTGCCGTAGCAACCACCGATGCAGGCATCGTCGCACTTTAATTGGGGATAGTCACTGTCCAATCGACAATATTTTGATGGGTCAGATCTGCACTTGGAACCTTAAAAAGCAAAAAAGGGGGTTAAGGAGGGTAATGTTAAAGATACTTAAATTTAAAGAATGACCTAAAGTCTCTTTCATGCAAATGAGTCGGAATAATCAATGTTGAAAAAATTTCGTCTATAAAACGGAGTGGCTTAAACCATACGCCTCTAACCGTGAAGTGCGATAGGCGGTCTAACACCTGGTGTGGGACGACCGCAGCAATAAAAAAAAGACTCGTCAACACATAAACTCGGTTACTAAAATTGGCCTGGCTGGATACAAGTCGTTTGATTTAACACGAAAACTCGATTTTCGTTACTACGATGTATACCAATACTATGCAAGCTGAACAGTCCCACAATACTCGAAAATCAACAAATTCATTAATATTTTTAATTTGGTCTTACTAGACTTGCCACATGACCAAAACTGATCAATTTTTTTCCCTTACTATATTTGACACTCTGTGCGAAAAAACCATTACGAATTTCTTAACAATCACTTTGTAATAATTTTTTTTTGCTTGATTGATCATCGGATAAGACGCCAATTGAATAACCAGCCCAATTCCTAGTTTACTTTTTTCTTAAAAAATGTTTTAGTGATACAAAGGCACTATATAGGAGATGAAGTAAGCAGAGGCTGTTTATGGTGCGGAAAGTTAACAGTACGTGATCACGTTAACAAATAATTCACTCCGAACTCCCACCCGTTTTTCGCCTTTTATGCTTCTTCTACGTCTGTGATATTTTAAGCAATGAAATGTATCGGGTAAGTATGTTTATTATTTATAACGCTATAATGGGGTCTCATTCAATGTACATTCATCCAGCTCGATTTCACTAGCGCCTGTAATCCGAGTGACACATTAAACCGATTTGAGCTCGTAAAAGAAGCATCAAGTGAATTTTATTGAATAATAGCACGCTGTTGTCGCAACTGCTTACAATGCGATTTGAGCAAAGTTATAGAAATACTTCAGGTAGATGTTTGCATATTTTAAATTGTAACTCATACTGAATCCCGATTTTTATTTGTTTGATTTATTTTTTTCGATTGATTGCTGTATCTGACCGTTAATCAGTCTACGTACCGTTTCGTACTATTACTGCAAAGATCAAAACGAATTCGTCATTGAAGGTCTTAGTAATTACTGACCGAATCTCAAGTAGGTTTTATGCTGTGAAAAAATCCACCTGCAAAGACATTACTAAAGATATTGCTACACTTTGTCATTTAAATGTGTGAGGCCACGAACACGGGGAGGCAATTGTTACTGCATAAACTGGAACCTAATACATAATAGAACGGAAAGCCGTCTTAAGTGTTAAACTATAGGACTTCCTGTAGGTTACCGAACTAAAACACGAAGATTAATAGCTCGCAAACTTTCCAATACTGCTGAGTTGCCACCGGAAGTAATTAAAGAAAGAACGATCCTTTCGATTTTTTTGCATTAACAGGCTTTTCTTTACCCTCAAATTGAGTTGGTGAAATTCGAAGTCACTCGTGTATGTTGTACTATGGCTTGGACTTTTTGAAAAAAGATCTAAGAAGTTCCGAAGTTTTCATTTCTCAGAGAAATTTTAACTAATTTTGCCGAAAATTAACCAGTGCTAGTAAAACTATACAAAAAATATTGGTGCATGATTACGGTCTTTGGATATCTAATGAAATTATGAAACGTTTAATACTTCACACCTGAATTTTATACGTTGATGTAAATCAAGATTAACATTAAACAATTCCTAGATTCTCAAATACCAACTCTCTGTATTTGACGTTTTTGCCCAGATCAAAACGGTAAGACCTTTGTTGCAAAAAAACGCATTTAAGGATGACAATACTGCTTTTGTTATTAACAAGCTCGCGCGCAGAATGCCAATTAATCAATGACTGTGACCAGTTACCTAGTGAGAAGAGAATTGGTTGTGCCAATAAGCACATTGATGGCAAAACCAACAATAATCAATTAATCAAAAACACAACCCAATTCCTACCGACTGGCTAAGGCCAACTTACTTCAACATGGAAAATAACCCTTCACAGTCTACGAATCAGGAAGGAAAAAACTTCGCTTGGTGATGGAAGGAGTAGTCGATTATTAGCTTCCAGCTTTACCTACTACGAATCGGTTTGTAGGGGTTGGTGTTGCTCACTGACTGTTACCCGTGCATTATTTTGTATATAACTATCCACACAAAACACGAGACAACTTTGCATAGTATTTGAATACATGGATTTTTTATAATATCGTGCGTGAGATGTAAGTAGCCACGTAATTTCTCAAGTTCACCCGGAATTGTATGTGACAAGGGTCACCTTAATCAGTCCACCCTAACAGAGCTAAAAATTATTTTTTTTATTAAAACGTTGTTAGCCAATTCAGTTACATTATGCTTAAAGTAAATAACTCTGAAAAGGGAATATTATTTTTAAATTCTATTGTAGTACCTTTAAATGGGATGACCAGAACTGTTTGGACATTTTGAAACAATGTTCAGATAGACAATGCGATTTTTATTTTTTCGGCATGCACAGAATTTTTAGCAATGCGCTTAATCCTCCACCTTTACCACTGATAATATTCTCACACGAATCTCCTCGCAAAGAAGATTGACCTAGTTTCATATAATAGCATCAATTTAACTTACCTACAGAGAGGTGTAATCAGTTGCTACTATATATATATCAAATTGAGGAGATATTAACACAATGGTTAATATGTCATATTAATGTTTCAGTTCTGGCTTACCTAGACATTTTTTATTCTATTGTCGGGACATTTTGGAAGTGACCATTAACTCATTTTTAGTGCCATTAAGTGTCTGCAAGGTATTGATTAGAGGATGGAAACAATCCCAATGCCCCTCTTGTTATCATTTTACATTAAATTTATCAGGCGCAATAAGTCTTTGTTCCCAAAATGTAGTAGGATAGTGCTTACCCTAACTTAAAAACTTTAAAATGATTATATTCTGCTGCTTCGGTTGTACAATTCACGCACCTTAGGAATGTCCTGCTTGAGTGATAAGTCTTCATTGGTTCTAAGTAATGTAGTATCTAAACATAACTTGTAACCGACTATCGTTCAAAAGCACGCATTTCACTTGAGATTAGGGTAGCAAACCAGTACTAGGGAAGTCTGTAGAAGTTACTTACGAAGTTGACACTGATCCTTGTCCGGCCCCCAGCAGTAGGAGTTATTGTCAGGTCCCAGGCATGCATTGCTGCATTTAATTTCGTCTATGTGGAAAATGCAAAAACTACTTCTTAGAAAATAAATTAACAAGGACGTTTGAGAATGCATGACTTCTTCGAATGTGCTAATAATGTCAATGTAAGAGCGTTCGTTCGCGATTTGTTAACGACATTAGAATTTCACTTCATCTGATTTCATGCATGCAGGCAAAGCATACGTGGCTTCAGATACTTTAGTGCATGTTGATGGTTGAAAAGGACGATGCAACTGTCTCTTTACAAAATTGGGGTCCTTTAGAGACGTGTGATTTATCTTAAAATCCTAAAGCGTTTTGTAGAAGTGGCAAATAAGTAAGTCTGGAGCTAAAAAAATACAGCAGTCACTCAAGGTAAGGCAAGATATAATTAACGGAAGAAGTGACTTAGGAATATATGGAGCATCAAAAAGATGGCACAGACCGCTTTTAAAAGTCATTTCATGTGAAGTAAATGTTGAAATAGTCATATAAACGCAAGAATCTTAAAATATTGAGAGCTTTAAGACAATTTATTTAAGCTGGCATTAAGTGCCTCAGAGAATAAAATTCTGAGCAATTTCAGGATTGTTTGTTTAAAGAAACTATTTGGATATGAAGTGCTAGAGTGGCATTTACCGTTAAAAAAATAATGCGGAACAATGCTGTCTGATGTATCCTATTATTACCACTGCAGTGCGTCATGTAAGATAAGGGCACAAATAAGGATACCATAAATGTCAGTGAGAACAGCCTGAATGCTAAATTTTAAATTCTAGATTACTCAATAAAATCATGGAATATGATAAAATTATCGGTACAATGAAAACATTTTGCTTAAGTCAGCAGAGAACCTGCATAAAATTTGGCAAGGTGGAGAACCATACCACAAGAGTGCAGATATCCTTTGAAATTTAGCACACGAAAAAACAGCCAGGAAAGATCAGATGTGCTGACTAATGGAAAAGCCGCACTATAACATGACTACAGAGGTGGAAGTAGGGAAGCAGAACTAGTGGTTTAACTTTCAACACAAAATAATACGGCGTTTCTAGGAGGAATGTTTTGCGTATCTCATCAAAGTAAATTTCAAAGCTCAAGTAAAGGCCAAGGAAGTCCTTAGTGTCTAGTTTGGTTCCAAATGTTGTAGTGCAAACATGCAGAATATCGACAAAAAGGGTCGCAATGCTGGAACAAAAGCAGGTGTCAAAATAACCTTGACCTGATAAGCTTTGGCAATAAGCTGGACTTTGAAGGCGAACTATTGGAAGCCTCTGCGCAATAAGGAGAGAATAGAAGGGGTTAAAATGAATTTTGTTGACTCGGGTGGGGAGATCTGTTCTATAATGAACCTTTTTTAACAATCAAATGAAATTAAAATCAGTGAGGCATAAACGCGCAATTTTATTAGAAAAAAACTGTGATATTACCTTCCTTCTGCAATAAATCAAAAGAAGCATTGTTCTTATAAACATTTTAGATTAGGGTGCCATGGTTGTTCATAATTCTGCCTTCATGATTATCAACGAAAACACCACTCACGAGGTGCGAACAAGGTGTTGCAAACACTGCCTTATCTGACTTCGAGCCTCAGTGGAGACAAATGCTCCTCGTCAGTACCTGAGATGCTGGGAAAACTAAAACTTCTGAGTTAAATGAAAGCCAAACAGTTGGATACATCTGGCAATTTTAGAACATTCATTTATCATTCTTCGAATACTTTCAGACCGATTCCAGTGTGCTCACGAAATAACCTGCTATTCTTTTAGGCAAACTTGTACCCTGTGCTAAAACACCCTGGAGTGTGAAACAATAACCACCGTCTCACAATTGCACAGTAATTTCAGACAATGCTGGCATGCTGTCAATAGGTCGTCATGAGAGTAACCTAGTTTGAAAGCTTTCACCACAGTATACGAATGCAAGTGCATGTGCTCTAGGTATAGGCACGTGCAGTTTGGCCACCAAGTCGTGTCGGTGCAAGCTTGAAGCGACGGAACCAGCGTGACGTTAATCAACCACAGCCACCCCTCTCTAGGCGAAACCAGCCAATCGCATTAAAGTGTTATCGTGATCACGTGCCTAGTAAGAGTTGGTGCCGTAGCTGAAACAGTGCTCACTCACGTGTTTGCCTGGAGGTCTGCGTTTACTTTGACAGTGTGAGGCCTATACTCCCCCGTCAACACATCCAATTACTCATAAGCATGTGCAGTTTCACCTGGACCCCCGTCCCTGGCCAAACGACGCTATCACAATTCATTTATTCATGCACCTAGGTTGTGACTGTGGCCTTCGCGTGCTGTCAAGCCCGGATAAAAAAAGTTGAGTTTAACAAACTCTTTGTTTGGTAAATCTTCCAGTACTCAATCCAAAGTCAGATATATAAAGAGGGCGCTTATTGCGGTTGTTACATTATTCCCACATCAGCTAATAATGAAGTTCATTTGTCTGACACCACACACACCGATGGGCCCTTATGTTTGCGCAGAACGAAGACACATTTTAAATATCACCGAGAATTTGTTTTCTGCGACTTCAAAACAGCCCAGAAGTCAAGAGGTCTGCTTTCCGCAAAACGTCCATTTGCAGTCCTAATGCGAGAATTCCCGTTTAAAATTCTTTGTTCTAGCACCATGCCTTTCTTATTGCCATGCGCAGTACTTGGATTTAAATATAAAATTTCGCAAGTAATTCGGTGACATAATTTCCCTCAATGATGTCAGTAAATTCGCCTAGGATTCTGTTTGCCCATGTCACCATTCACTTGACATTTCATCTAACAGCACAGTCGCCTACTTCAATGCTGCAATGAATGCCTAAAAATAGTCCAATTATCGTGATAAAACACTCTCCGTACTGATTCTCCCGTAAGCCTAACTCGCTCATATCACCTTAAAAGAGGTATATCAAAAATATACATTGGAATTGACTTGGTATAATAATGATAAGAACGGAGAAAATGCTTTGAGGAAAGGAGACGTGCTGGGAAGATCGCAAATTATACTTGAGCACTTTACTTGAGTTTTAGGAGAGGACAATTGTTTGAAATCTCAAATTTCCTAAGAAAACTTAAGGCAAAAGTATGGAAGACATTTTAGATAGTGAGGTCTTCTTGAGTTTTGAAATACTGCAGTAGTCATGAGGTGGTAGAAACAAAACTCAATTCAAATGCAGACTGTTTTAATGCTCTTTCGGTGCCGCGTTAAGGTCATTTGTAAAAGAACTGAAGCCGTCAACGAATCGCCGTGTTTTATGTAATGGTGCCACAGATTTTTCAAATAAAATGGATCGGCAAAAACTTGTACAATTGAGGACTCTGTGTAGCATGCATGCATGTGAGAGTTCCTCAAAGAAGTGTCTGTGGATGTTTACTGGGGCCACGAACCGTGTCTATTGGCTCCTATGCGTTAGTCACAACCGACAAGCAAACTTGGATGTATTTGACGCATGACCAGAGAAATCATGTGAAGGAAAATCAAGTCCATTTTGTGAATCAATTAGTTGAGTAAAAACGCTTGCAGCGCATGTCTTGCTAAAGAAATCAAAATGCATTGAAAAATTTGAGTAATATTTTATATCAGAAATACCTCAACTCGTAGACTGCGTAGCACAACCTCTACATCTAGGAAGGCACCAAGATATGCCTCCTCTTTGAATGCTCCCATTTAAATGTGTTTTTAACGCTACACACACGGATTGGGGAAGAAACATTACCATAAACAGAATGATTCTATATGTGGTTATGTAAAAGTCCAAATATGAACACGCGCATATCGCGAATGTCACGCAAAAGTGTGGAATGTCTTCAATCGTGTGCGCGATTCCAACGAATTAATCCTCATTGGATCTAACATTTGCATATATTAACTCCTGCGCCACGCCACATTCAGTGGTCCTAATTTACATTCTAAAAGGGCAAATCAGCCAAAAATGTATAGGGACCAAATTAAGCAAATTAGTGAATGCATTTCATATTAGTTTGAAACATTCAGTGATCTAGCCATGATTACATAATTGAACGTGGACACTATAATATCTCATCCGTGGTTTACCAGCAGAAGTAGATTGAAGCCGGAAATAAGGTTAAAGAAGCGTTATTTTATTAGTTCTGACTAATTTTCATTGGTACCTCGCCACACCTACCAGGCGTTAATGGCCAGTGATCATTTTTCCTAGCACAGGAAGTGGAGGTATGCTAAATGGCATATTACCGATTCATAATTTTGCGAAATTTTCACGAATTTCTCATTATGAGAATTCTGAGCTAGGCGAAAATAAAAGTAATAAAAAAGGAAGTACGTAGGTGACGCTAACCCAAACAGCTTAAATTATAACGGCGAACGTCTCATTACTTAACTTTTGAACACTTGTTGAGACAGCTACCCTAGCTGTCGCAATTGTTTATCTAACAATTCTGAAATGCGACAGAGCTAAACACTATATTAAGTGGAATGAATGGATAAATTTAAATAGCCCAAGGAATCTAAATTTGTAACATTAAATTTAATCAAATACCCATAATGTGTTTCCTTTGAGCCACAAAATTATGTTGAAATATTCCTTCTTGGTCCTATTGAGTCACAACAGCAGGGCACGTCGTAAGACGTTGAAAGCAAATGTTGATGTGCATGTGTGTGTATAGATCTTAAACGGAGGAACGTACACTATGTATCATTGCAGCGGAAAAGCACGCAATACCTTTCAAACGTAATACCTTTCAACGTAATAACTAATGGGCTTTTTTTACATTGAGTAAAAATGCAAAATGTAGGTTGCCCACATAGGTATTAATAAGGCAACACGGCACGATTGTCGAAATTCGGAAAAGCTTAATTTGAAAAATTGTCAAATGAAACTATAGATATATGGGGTTAAAAGGAGAGAAAATAATTGATATCGAAAATTCCCCATTGTGCGCACTGTGCCGATAAAAAATGATGGGTGATCACTGGAACAGGTGATAAAAAATCAGAAAATTGCAAATGCAAAGTGGGATGCAAAACATTACTGAAA